TGATCTTCTACAGTAGGCCTACATTGTTGGTTACTGTGATTTTCTACAGTTGGGACGTTACGACTGATATTTTTTAAGTAACTCCAGAGGTAGCCTACTGTAATTTTTGGTTGGAAACACGGTATTATACTCTAAAATAGTATACAGTAATTTACTGTGCACAAACACTGTAAATAACTGTGTATTTCACAGCCATTTTTTACAGTGCAGTCATGTGAAATTTGTTGACATAATACATTTAATTCAAATCAACCTTTACATGTTTTAGGTAAGCATATAAAGTACTGTTGAACATTGATGCATACAGAACTGAGTTGTGGGTGTTACACTGTTCATCACTTTGAAAGTTGCTCAGTGGCCATAAAGGCTGGGGAAGGCTAATAGTGCATTTACAACTTTAAGGAAATAAATAAATGCTTTGAAGTGTTTGTTCTGTGAAGTTGATTTACTTCAAGAATCCCTTAGACACAGTAGACACTGCCAGTTTTTCAATGTTGTCTGTGTTTTGACCCCCGCCCGACTATTTATTTTACCTTTGACCTTTTTAGTGTTGCTGTTAAAATGCTGATCTGGTCCTGTCTCTGCAATTGCCTTCATCTTTGTAAAATGTGTTTTACCCCACACACGCGCTGCGACAGTACTAGCAATACTTTATACTTAATTATGGAAATCGATTGATTAACTCTCGGAACTGCAAACATATAATTTTCAAAAAGAATTCTTAAGTTATACAACTAAAAGATATGTTACTGGCATAGATAAGGAACTTGTTCATTACATGTTGCTATTAATGTAGTCTGAAATATCATCCTAGCTGGCCATGTGTTTATATGTTTAACTCTAGTGGTAGTATCTCTCTAAAAGATGAGATATCTTCCACTGAAACTCCACAGCCCAACATCTCTTACACAAACAATGCTGTAATTATTCTGGAGGTTTTGCAGACATCATTGTTTTCAGTCGATGTTAACAGTCCACAGTGAAGTCATCCTTCTGACTTGAATATCAGAGGCATTGTTTCATGAAAGACATATTGCTGTCGACTTTTTGAATGACATTTATAAAAGCTATGAGAACAACAAACCAAACTGTGTCCACTTTCATTATATTGGGGCAGCAGGTGGAAATCTCAGGGACAGACATCTTCAAACCAAAACTATCCGCATGCATAAACTCCACGACGGGGCAGTGTTGTAAGTCGTTGACCCTTTAAGGTCTGTTAGTGGAAGTTGAATAATCAAATCTGCTGCTCAAAATAAAGACGTCTCTCATAAATTTGAGCGTCCTCCACCGAAACCACAACCGCCCGACGTTCCACTGTGCCCTTTCAGCGCCAAACTCAAAGGCCACGACACCAAAATGTCTCCAAGTGTCAGCTTCCACTGCAGTTTATCATCTCCTTTTCCGACAGATCGAGCGGTCCTCTGACAGTGGGGGTGGCCACCATCAGTCTTTGGGGAAACTGTGTTGCTCATTTATTTAGTATCTTGACAGAAATGCTAACGTTGCCGTGCTCATTTCAGAAATGTGCGACGATTTTTATTTGTATTTTGTAAGCTGGGCAATGACAGGGAAAATACACGTATTACTGTAAACACAATGTACATTACAAGTCAGTTTGTCTTTTAGTAGTCAGAATACTTTCCGGCTGAAAGTATGTACACTTTGATGATATTTGTTGCGCAAATATACCCATGTGTCATGTTTTCAAAATGGCTCTGAGGCAGTGGAGTTTCCGCTGTTCCTGTCCACTACACCTCTCTGAGTTTCACAAGGTGTTTCCTCTCAGTGAGGCAGGTGGGAGTCTGCACTACAGTCTGTTATAAGTGGAAGAAGTGTTTAGATCTTTTTACTTGAGTAAATGTATACAAAGTCTATAAAGACTCTGTTAACAATTAAAAGTCATGAATTTAACATATATTTAAAAAGTTACAAATGTAATTAAGTATAATGGCCATAATGATTTTTAAAAGTAACTTTTTGTTAGATTTGCTTAAACTGTTACTATATCCTGCCAGTATTTCACGAGACAGATAAATCATATTCCTCTGCCCTCCATCAGTGCGCCTAATGGCATTTGCAATGCCTGAAGGAAAACAACCAATCAGAGCCGAGGACTCTCTAAGACAGTGTCCTGAACTGCTGTGAACTCCCAACAAAGTGTGAAACTAGCAGCTCTGATCAAATATGAATGAAGTTGTTGGCACAGAAATGCCTTTTCAACTGTGGCTGTGAGGGAGTGTCGTCTTTCAACCAGAAGGTTGTCGGTTCGATCCCAGCCCCTGCAGTCCACAGTGTGTGAAGTGTGTGTATGTTAGATTCCTTGAGCAAACATGTGCATTGCTCTGTGGGAATGAGGTGAATGATGACTTGTAGTATACAATGCGCTTTTTTAAGGGGTCTTACAGGCTGGATGAAGTGCTTTATACATGCTGTCCATTTAGCATTTATAACTTACTTTTCCAAACCTTAAATGTATTCAGAAAAGTGCTGAACTGTTAAGCTGTAAAAATGAGAAAATGTGTGACCCAACCTCCATGTTGAAAACAGCTGTTCCAAACCAAGCTCCAAGCAGTGGAGCTGTGTCTAAACAGTTATCTCCTGCCCTCAACTGAATAGAGTTCAGAGGGGCTACCTTTCCTGTGTCAGTCCTGTACTGCCAAGAAACAACAGAACCATTCCTGAAAGCTGCTGTGTCCTGGGTGGGTGTGTCCACCCAGGACACAGCATTGGGTAGGGGGGACATTAGGGACCCTACTAATGTCCAGTGACTACTGAATTGTCCCTGCTGCACTCATATGTCTGCAAATTAGAGAATATACTGGTCATGTTGGAGCTCATTTACTTATTTACTTCAGTCTATAATAATACATCAGAATGTATTAGTTGATTTATAACTAAGGAAACGTAAGTTATTAACTACATGTAGTGGAATATAACGTATCTGAGATGGAATGAAAGTATAAAATAACATTTTAACATAAAATTGAAATACTCCAGTAAAGTACAAGTAAATCAGAATTGTGCTATATAATTATAAATTACCCTACATACTGTATTACCACTTCTCCTCTCAGTCTGGAGCCGTTTACACCAAATGAAAAAAGGAGTTAATTCCTGTTTTATGTTTCTGGTTAAAAGGGTTTTGCTTCTTTCCAACTCTGTAGCTCAGTGCTGTGGTGTTTCCTCATCGAACACCTGTCAATCACACAGTATGGCAAAGTACAATAAATAAACAAAAAGAGGCACTTGAAACAAGAACAATACAAACCATATGAAGACATTGTGAGACAAGAATGAAAAGTGACAGCAGTGTGAATCACAGCAGAGAAAGCAGGTCTACTGTATGTTAGCAGCTGTACATCAGACTAAGATGCTTGTATGTAGTGGTCCTTGTGTTTGTGTGGAAATATAATATAAATATACAAGTATACAACATTAAATCAGTAATATGTAGACATAATATATCATAATCTTTCATCTGTGTTTTATTGTGTCTATAATATTTTAATAGTAACTACTTTTGAATTGTAAAGTTATGCACTCATGGATAAATGTCTACCTACTTTGAAGGAGATCTATAAAAACCTGAGGAAAGTTTGCTGAGTTATTTGTGGTCTTTTAAATAATAGTATATGGCCTCATGTATTATTTGTCTGCAGATTTAGTTTTTGACATGAACTGTAATCCCTAGAAAATGAAGTTACACACGTCTAAACTAGAAAACAGTCACCATGGCTGCCACAGAAACCAGCTTGGAGCCCTTTGACCGTATCTGTGTGGAGAGGAAGTTATCTTCATGTTTCTCTTTATAAATGTTGTGAATATGCAAAGAGAAGTGACACCACTTGTGTATGTGTGTGTGTGTGTGTGTGTGTGTGTGTGTGTGTGTGGTGTGGTGTGTGTTTGGTGTGTGTGTATGGTGTGTGTGTGTGTATGTGTGTTGTGTGTGTGTACGTGTGTGTGTGTGGGTGTGTGTGTGTGTGTGTGTGTGTGTGTGTATGTGTGTGTGGTGTATGTGTGGGTGGTGTGTGTGTGGGTGGTGTGTGTGTGTGTGGTGTATGTGTGTGTGGTGTGGTGTATGTGTGTGTGTATGTGTGTGTGGTGTGTGTGGTGTGGGTGTGTGTATGGTGTGTGTGTATGTGTGTGTGTGGGTGTGTGTGTTGTATGTGGTGTGTGTGTATGTGTGTGGGTGTGTGTGTGTGTGTGTGTGTGGTGTGTGTGTGGTCTGGTGTGTGTGTGTTGTGTGTGGTGTGTGGGTGTGTGTGTGTGTTGTGTGTGTGTGTGTGTATGTGTGTGTGTGTGTATGTGTGTGTGTGTTGGTGTGTGTGGTGTGTGTGTGTGTGTGTGTGTGTGTGTGTGTGTGTGTGTGTGTGTGTGTGTGTGTGTGTGTGTGTGTGTGTGTGTGTGTGTGTGTGTGTGTGTGTGTGTGTGTGTGTGTGTGTGTGTGTGTGTGTGTGTGTGTGTGTGTGTGTGTGTGTGTGATGTGGTAGGATGAGTGTCTACAGATAAAAAGCTAATGAAGCTCTGCTAGTGATCTACACTGTCCTGTCAGCACAGCATGATGCTACGTATTACTTTACTTTGAGTTGTTTAAATGGAGTTTTACCAAAAAGTGCTACTTTATGCTTCCCTACACTACATTTCAAGCAAATATTTTACTTTGTACTCAACTACTGTACATTTGTTCATCAGTTGATTGTCATCAGTTACTTTGCAGAGTCAGATCATTAATACAAACTGTAATCGACCAACAAATGATTATGTAATGTTACAGGTTAAGCTACCCAGCAGGATATAAAGCGATTAAAATGAGCTTCTGCTGTAGATACAACATTGAAATGACGAACACATTAATAATTATAATCTAGTTATACTAAAGTTCAACATGATGCAAGGAGCAGAAGTCTGGTAAAAAATAAACTGTTTTCATTGGAGAAATAGTCTCCCGTCTCCTCCTCAACAGTATTTTTCTATAAATATAAAATGTATTTGTGAAAATAATAACCTGTGCAATGTTTTTGTGTGTTCAGGCACGTAACAAGCAGAATGGAGAGCTGGCAGCTATCAAATTCATCAAGATGGAACCAGGTGAGGATTTACCTGAACACGCTTCATTTTGAAGGGGTTGGCTCCTCACTGACCCACACAGGCCTATAGCTGCCTATTGCCTGTGGACACGGTAATACACATGTTCCCAGTCTATTATAAGTAGCATAATCAGACAAGTACTGTACTAAAGGACACATCTGGGGTCATTTCTTTTGATGCAACTTCAACTACATTTCAGCGACTATTAATGTTGTTTTTACTCCATTACATTTGTTGAGAAGCTTTTTCCATACAAAATATGACATTGCAATATTATAAAACAATATTTTGATTGTTTAATCAATTTCTCATATAAAAACGTATCAGCAGATTTATTCAATAATGAAAAGAATCATTAGTTAATAGTTCAAAATGAGCTCCAACTCAAATGGGGCGAAGCCTGCGAGCTAGTTCAGGCAGTCAACTCGAGCACTTAACTCATACATAACGCCCCTTGCCACTCTACAACCAACCAATCAGAGTCTCCTTAATATGCCGCTCTATTTAACCTGCCAGATATCTCTCTCTATGCTTTGCTTGCTGCTGCTGTTGCTGCAGCTACTTCCACGTCGCTGCTGCTCGCCTTCCCCACCACCACCCCAGCTTCCACCCCAGCTTCCACCTGTAGGCTCTGGGGGTTAGTTATTTAATCATCACTCATGGTGCTATGTATATCTGTGGAGTGATGAGGCCCGAGCCTAGACGCCAAGCTCAACTACTGTATATGCTGCTATAATAAACATGTTAAAGGAACACGTGAGTTGTCTGACTGAAATAACTACTACAGTAAAATAATTGTATTTGAATGCATGAGTAATAATAATACCTGCATATCTTCAATTAAGTCACATGCAGGCTTCTATAGTTTGGTTCCAGCACTTTTTGTTTAGTAAAAGATCTGAACAATTCTTCCACCACATTATCAAGTGCATAGCATCATCTGGTGAAAGTCTCTCAACATGTTGTAACCCAAAGCAATGATTGCCTCTATACTGGTTATGATCACAGGAGTTATAAAGTATTAGAATCAATACAGTCAGCTGTAATTGCTGTTATAGTGTGATTACAGTCTTTGTGAGACCAGACATTATAATTAGTTCAATATCTTGTTTTAAGACGGGACACTTCATTGAAGTCCAGCTATGGAGCATTATGTAGCCTCTTCTCAACAAGCAAACACGATCATAGATTCTTTATGAGTTCATACTTTTGAAAAGTAGAAATCCCAGACTGTGCCAATAAAAGTAGTGCCGTAGTAGTCTTACCAGCACGTTTCATTGAAAATAAATGTTTTTAAATGAATATTACTGCTGCATTAATGTGTATCTTGCATTTGACTGCAGTCGTAGTTTAATGTTGTGCTCATTTGAAGTCCTTTATATGCGGGTTGGTAGTTTAATCTGCAGCAATGCATCATCATCTTTAAGATCATCATATGTGTGTAGAGTCAGTGTCTCTAAAAAGTCAACTGTCATGAGTTTCTCAGGTTAACAGCCCTGTGTGGGTTTAATGAGGATGCATTTGCAGTTAATCCCAGAGGCTTTTACACACCTACATTCATTTCAAAAGGAACTGGAGGTAGATGTCATCAAGTGTGGTCTGCATGTAGCGATGTAACCACACATTCTGTTCAACTGTAATGGAAATCAACATAATAAATATGTATCTCTTCTGTCTGGTTCCACAGATGATGATTTCTCCATCATCCAGCAGGAAATCGTCATAGTAAAAGCTGCAAACATCCCAACATAGTGGCTTATTATGGGAGCTACATAAGGTGGGCTCTCTCTCTCTCTGTTCCCTCTCACTCTGTTATTCATGTATATTATTATATCTCAGATGCAGAAGCTCACCCTCTACTCTCTGCAGAACCAACAAACTGTGGATCTGTATGGAGTTCTGTGGAGGAGGCTCCCTGCAGGATATCTACCATGGTGAGAAAAAGAGTGTGTGTGTGTGTGTGTGTGTGTGTGTGTGTGTGTGTGTGTGTGTGTGTGTGTGTGTGTGTGTGTGTGTGTGTGTGTGTGTGTGTGTGTGTGTGTGTGTGTTATACTTCTACTGTACTGTGCTTTTTACTTTAGAACATTAAACTGGACCTCATGATACATGAGTTATTCATTAAACCATGGACACATCATCTTCAGTCTACACACGGTTTAGGGTGTCAATTATTATGAAAATGTATCATTTGAATAATTGTGTCCCACAGTGACTGGTCCTCTGTCTGAGCCACAGATCGCTTACATCTGCAGGGAGATGCTGCAGGTAAAATCACACTCAGTATTTCATACATTTTGTTTTACTATTATCAATCGGCCATACTGTTGAAAATGATGCACAAAACAATCTCACCAGGGTCTGAACTACTTGCATGCACAGAAAAAAATCCACAGAGACATCAAGGTAAATATGTCTGACTTTGAATACATTCTTGTTTTTATCTTGTCTTTTATCTGTGCTAAAGGCTCATGCTTTTAATTAAGCCAGTACTCCTTCCACCTGTGGTCATGCAGCTGATGATTACTAAAATGTACTGAGCAAATACAATCAGCCTGTCAAGGGAACCTTTATTGTGCTTTAACAGGTTTCTGATCTTCACCCTGGGTTCAGCTAAAGATCACAGAGTGGGTTAAAGTGTTTGTACGATGAGTTGTTCCTCTGTCTGTGTTGATTTGTGTGTTGACCTCTTGCCTGCAGGGTGCCAACATCCTCCTGAACGATCACGGCGAGGTGAAGCTGGGTAGGTGGATGTCTGAGTGTCTGCCTGTGGTTAAGATGAGTCACAGTCTGCAGAGTGATGGCTCAAACACGTCTCTGCTGTCTCGCTGGGTCTTCAGGACTAAACTGGGCCTCTGCAGTCTCTCACTGTTCTAGAATTCATATTCGTCTGTTACCGTGGTTATTATTCAGTTGCAAACTTGTTTCATTCACATGCAAAATCCTTAGAATTTGGGTCATTTGTAATGGTTTTTTCATGAATACACTACAAATCCAGACAGGAAGACAAATGATAGTTGGATATACCTTCTTTTAAGACTCTATTAGACTTGAGACCTGTGTCAGTGGTTTTACAGATGAATTGCATTGTGCAGTACACATTTAATTTCAAAGCCTACAAAATGTTTTGAAAGAGCACCTGAAGATTCTCTTAAATATATCTTGTTAAATGTAATTTCATTTCGTAATTATTATTAATACTTTTTTTTCCCTGTTGTGTAGCTGACTTTGGGATCTCGGCTCAGATCACTGCCACGCTGGCTCGGCGGATGTCTTTCATAGGAACGCCATATTGGTGAGGTCAAAACGGATCACGTCCCTTAAACACATGAATCTGAGTATATAACTGCAAGTGGCTGTGTGTGGGTAGTATCATAATTGTTTCACTTTATAATGAGCTTCATCGTCTTTCACCTCCTGCTGTTTTCACTCGGCTGGAGTTTGATAAAAGAGCAGCTCTGTCTGACAGAAAGATTAAGCATATCATAGATCCATTGATTTTGCCATGCTAACTCAGGATTTTGAGATACCTAGTCATTATTATACTTATTTTTTTATATTGAAAAAAAAGGGAACATGTATAGTTAAAAACTAAAATGTCACAATTTGATGCACTACACGAGATTATAGCCTTCGATAATTGAATATTCCAGTGTTTTCTTTTTGTGGTTTTGACCATTATTTGTACATGTTTCCTCATTTGTATCCAGTATCACATCAATATATCAACAATCAGAGACTATTTCAATCCTCTCAACTGTGATGAAATAAAACCTCAGCTGTTTTTGTATCTATGAATACAACAGTGTCATCTACATACATTTGCAATTCTATATCATGACACTGTTGAAGGAGATAATTGGTATAATGTCTAAATAACAGTGGACCTAACACTGACCCTTGTGGAACACCCATTGTGCACTTCAAGATTCTGAACAGTGCACAACAGACTTCAACACATAACTTTGTTACATTTAGAGTTTTTAAATTAAAACATCATGATAAACGAATATAGAATGCTTTACATAGATCTAAAAATACAGCACCCACTACTAATTTTGAAATACCTAGTCATTATTTTTAAATACAAGTAATACTTTTTCCGATACAAATGTTGTCATTACATTAGCTACCATATAATTGAACTTTCACACCATTAGCTGGTTTCTGTGGTGCTGATATATTTGGTTTCTGTTTCCCTCCTGTGCTCAGGATGGCGCCAGAGGTGGCAGCAGTGGAGATTAAAGGCGGCTACAATGAACTGTGTGACATCTGGTCGGTGGGCATCACAGCCATCGAGCTGGCAGAGCTGCAGCCGCCAATGTTTGATGTCCATCCACTGCGGTGAATACACACTGCAACACACACCTCTCCGAGCATGTGTACACTTCTGCACCTAAAAACACACAAACACTCACATAAATAGTAAATAATCATCTTCATTGGGCTGAGCAGTTGTGGACTCTAACAAATTACATTTGCTCAAAAAGGTTAAATAACAATTTGAGCTACTTGTACTTTAAGTATTTCCACGTTCTGCTCCTTTATACTCGAATACTCGAGTGGCAAATGTACTTTTGTGAAGAAGAAAATACAAAACACTCAGCTGTTATTGGTTCAGCTAACAAAGTTATGCAACATGTCACATTATGCAGATGGTTAAGCTAACACAGATTCCTATTGACTATACCCCCCCCCCCCCCCGCCCCGCAGGGTCCTGTTTCTCATGTCAAAGAGTGGGTACCAGCCTCCTAAACTCAAGGACAAGTCTAAATGGTAAATACAAAACAATAACACATTACATTCAGTGTTCAAATCATAGGAGCCAATGATTATTGTCAATCAAATGTAACTTCCTGGCTTTGGATTTATCTGTATCATTACATTATATCTGTCTTTCATAATTCCACGATACAAAATGCTACTAACTTATCTCCTGTCTGCAGGTCCTCCATGTTTTATAACTTTGTAAAGTCCATGTTGGTGAGGAACCCAAGGAAGAGACCCAGCGCCTCCAAGATGCTCACAGTCAGTACCGCTAACATCTGCTCCTGCTCTGGTTATATAGTGTCAGCTGTGCATCACATTAACTCATTTGTCATTCATGTAGCTGTCAGTTTAAAGGAGTAAACAATAATTGTGGACATTATAACAAAATGTCAAATGAAAATGGGAAAAGAGTTGTTCGTAGTGATGAACATGCATGGAATGATAGTTCCCTGTAATTGCTGTTTCTTTCTGAGACCCCCATTTCTAACTTGTAGGCTCTTGACGCTCTCACAGTGTCCTATTTGAGGAAAAACCTTGAAAAACTCAATACAGCTCTAGTTGCTAAAGACTAGCTGGGGAACAAAGTGGAGCATTTAGCAGATACAGTTCCTAATGTTTCCCTCTGAAGATGGTTGAGTCCAAAAGCAGATCTAAAATAGATCATATTGGACTTACATTCATCAGGTGGACGCAAACACAAAGAATCGTCGCGCACAACAAAGTTGTCTAACCCTCCAAGCCAATGTAGGATTAACGTCTTTGTACTAACTCATGGCAGGATTGTATATTTCTGGAAAGGTCTGTTTGCTGGTTATGACTTGGCCATCCCAGTGTTATGTTATATAGATATTTCTCCAAAAGTGAACTCTGTTTGAACTGTTCGACACAGGGCCACTGCTTTTATTTTTGGCATTCCCTGCTGTCAATACCGCTATCGGAAATAAATATTTCCCACGTTTAAATGAAGATTTCAAATACATGTGTAGCAGTGCACACACAGGGACATGTACATCCTGGTCTGGGTGGTCTTTACAATCATCCAGATCTTCCTCCTAATAACTTACCTTCTCTGTGTTTCCTCCCTCCTTCGCTGCTTCTGTCTCTGCAGCAAAGCTTTCTGACCCAGCAGGGCCTGAACAGGGAGCTGACCCTGGACCTGCTGGAGAAGTATAGAAACCCTGAGAAGCTCAAGTCCTGCCTAGGGACGGAGGACGAAGAGATGGAGGTCTTAACCACATTATTATTAATAACTGATAAATCATGATTCCTCCTTTATTTATTTATTATTGATGAGCAAAAAGAGTGTTTCATGTATTATTCCAGCCACAGCTCTTTTATTTTGTATTTACTTACTAACTTTACACTTAAAAACGTTTCGTTTTAAAATGTGTTTTTTTGTCAGGTTGTCTAACAGACTCCCCTCCCTCTCCTACCTGACATGATAGACCCTGATAGAATGACCCATGTTTTCTTGTTGGTTTAAGATGGCGCTGCCTGGATCTTTGAGGAGAATCCAGTCCATCAACAAACACAACCAGGCAGAGAGGACCAACTCTGACATCAGCTGTAAGAAATCACTCTTTCACTTTAGCTATGGAGCTATCAACCTTAAGAGAACATATTACAGATTTGAAGTTGGACACTGATTTGTAGGACTTTTAGGACCAGCCAGCAACAATTAGTTTTTCTGGTCAACAGATTAGTGATTTACAACAGCAAACATAAAAAGCCCTTCTTGATTTCAGTAAAAGTATATACTCCAGGTGGAAGAAGTACTCAGATCTTTAATAGTTATAATAATATAATTGTCTTAAAGATTTGTATGTTATGTCCTTATCTATGTCTGGTAGGACAATGGTGATTGAGCACCACTCCTGGCAGCCTTTGCATTGCAGTATTATGAACCTGGTGTCTGTCTGGACATGGCCGAAAAAAATACACAAAATATTTGTTGTTTGTATTTCATATTATTAATGTGAATCTGAAGAATACATTACTCTTAATTAATGTAATGGGGTAACATGTACAATATTTCCCTTTCAGATGGAGTTAAGCAGAAGCATAAAGTGGAAATACTAAACTCTCTGAAGCGTACTAATATAAAGTATTTAAATATGTGTACTTAGATACTCCAGCCCTGCGATATACATTACATGCACACAGCGAATACAGTATACTTAATAGGGAAATGTAAATGTTTACAGCAGTACAAAAGGGAGACGGTGATTAACCTGCTTACTTGCCTTAATTAAATATGTTTCTTAGCATCTTAACTCTTCTCATTCACAGTATTACTAAATGCTATTGATTACTGTACGCATTATTTCACTCCCTGTTGCTCTTAATTTATCTGTTCATTTGAATGCTGGCGGTGACAGAATACACATGTATTCTGCTTTATTTCGATTTCTCTGGATAAATGAAATGCAATGCAAATGTTCACAGTTTCATTGTGTTCAATTGTTTTGCTCTCAGTGGAACAGATTTACACTCAAAGGCCTGTGAAGAACCAATCACCAAACACAACAGTAAGTTCATCACACATCCAGAGTTTGAGTAGTAGTTCTAGTTCTAGTCATCTGTCTCTGTCTACTGCCTCTCCTCTCACTCCTGTCTCCTGCAGGCTCACTTTAACACTCTTTCTCCACAGCTGTGTATCGGTATGACCCTGATAGCTGTTTCGGGCGAAAACATTCTTAAAACAATCAGACAGACACACACACACACACACACACACACACACACACACGTACACACACACACACACACACACACACACACACACACGCACACACACACACACACACACACACACACACACACACACACGTACACACACACACACACACGTACACACACACACACACACACACACACACACACACACACACACACACACACGTACACACACACACACACACACGTACACACACACACACACACATACACACACACACACACAGTTAATACATAATAATAATAATAATAATAATAAATGAGTCACAGCAGCAATGTTGTCAAGCATTACACACGTTAAAAATATTCTAAAGATACAATAAGATACAAATAAAAAATGAACATGAGTGGCAAGTTTATAACAAATTACAAATAAACTTGCTAAATGTTGCTGCTGCAAAGCATTGTGGGATGGAATGTTCTTTTCTTTTGGTAATGGATGGTCCAGTGTACCCTATGCTTAAGAAAGGAAGCGCTGTATCACAGCTAGACCAGATTTTTCAACATGTCTAAATAAAATGCAGATTTTGTGACATTTATATATACATTTTGTGTGAAGGCAAACAAAACATTAACTTAACATTAACTAACAGATAGAGAAAGGTTGGGTGCTGTCCTTTCTAGTTTCTCTGTCCTACCTCATGTGTTATATCTCTGTTGTGTCCTTGGGCAAGACACTTCACCCGGATTTGCTCCTGTGGGTATTGTCCAGAGTACATGTATGATATCAATGTGTACTTGTAAAAGCGCCTCGATGACTTCGAGGCGTGAAGATGGACGGTGTGGCGCAGTGCGCTGTGCAATGATCATCAGATCAAGGGGTGAAACCCGCCGCTGCTGCGTCTGTAAAGCCGTTGTGTCCTTGGGCAAGACACTTCACCTGAACTTGCTCCTGTGGGTATTGTCCACAGTGACCATTGCATGTATAAAAAAAATATGTGTAATGTGTATTTGTAAAGCGCTTTGAGCATCTGGAAAAGCGCTATAATAAATGTAAGGAATTATAATTAATTATTATATGTCTGTTTTTACAAATACTGTCTAATCTGTTGTATTTCTTTTCCCAGTTAAGACCTTCACTGGGATCCAGCAGCAGTAACAAGAGTCCAGTGAGGTGAGAGGCTCCTCACAGACAGGGAGTCACATTGAACATTAGATGAAAGAAGCTAACCTCTCTTTCTGTCGTCTCAGGGATCAGGACTCAGACTCAGACGATGACTATGATGATGTGGATATGTAAGAAAACATAAACCCTATCTATCTAAATACCACAGAGCATAATTATTGGTTCCAAAACTGCATACTGAATTCAAACTGATGTGTAATGTTCACATTCAAATATGATATGAAATGTGGAAGAAGTAGGCAGATCTTTAATTGAGTTAAAGTAATAATACAGTTAAGAACTATAGTGTAGTAAGTACAAGTCCTGCATTTAATTCAAGTCTTGCTCAAAAATATTGTAAAAAAGTACCAGCATAAAAACAACTCTTACCTGCAAAGTTAGTACAGTTGTCAAATATTTGCAGAGGAGTAAAAAGTAAAATATTTCCCACTAAAATGTTTATAAGCAGAAGTGTAAAAGCAACATTTGAAAACGCACAATGTAATTATTTAAAAGTACCCTTGTGCATTTACTGTGCAGTCACATTTAAATATATTGCATTGACAAATTCCCTCTGTCTTCTGTCTCCCTCAGCCCTACGATGACACCTGGGTTAGTCTGAATAAACAGCCTCACATGTATTCATATTGTGTATTTGTATAATGAACACCCTGAGCACGCTCTCTCTCTCACCAGCAGTTTCATAATGACAGCTAACGAGACTCCACCTCCACTTCCACCAAAGGTGATTATCAACAGATCCCTGAACATGACAAATGTTTGCTATTACAGTGACGGGATGTGCATTTCAAGCCAAAACACTTTTTTTTAATGAGGTTATTGCCTGTAATAAAATAAAAAAATGTTATGTGAAAGCAGAAACTTGAAATATAAAATATAGATAGTGTTTGCCTTTCTCAATTGTCATTCATTCATTCCAGAAAGTTTAAGATGTTTGCATTACTGTTGTTTTATTAACAACAAATTGTAGAACAAGTATTCAGAACTTGAAGTTAAAGTTGGAAATGTTCAAGTAAAAGTATAGTACTTCATTCAGCTAACTTAAGTAAAAGCAAAATGCTCATTTGAACTGTTATATACTGTCGGGTAGTTTAATTTACAGCAATGCGTCATATTTGATATAACCCTCATGTGTGTGTACCATCACTGTCCTGTGAGAACCACGTATCTCAGCCCTGTTTTCAGCTTTGTGACAAAGCTATATATATATATATATATATATATATATATATATATATATATATATATATATATATATATATATATATTCTAAACATATAAAGGAACATTCCATCTTTTAGTTTATCACAAAGGTTCAAAATCAACACAACTGGAGAAGAAAGGGGACACATTTTCTCACACACAACTCTAACTGAAGCTGTCAGCCATATAGTTCCCTGATCGCTTAGTTGTGGATAGCAGTTTATTCTGTGTGTGTGTGTGTGTGTGTGTGTGTGTGTGTGTGTGTGTGTGTGTGTGTGTGTGTGTGTGTGTGTGTGTGTGTGTGTGTGTGTGTGTGTGTGTGTGTGTGTGTGTGTGTGTGTGTGTGTGTGTGTGTGTGTGTGTGTGTGTAGCCTAAAGCTCGCAGCAGCTCAGAGGAGAGCATGGCGGGGGAGGAGGAGCGGGGGAGGAAGCCCTGCTCTCTGTACCCCCCCACCCCTCTCATCAGGACCACCAGTGTGTCTCAGGTCCGACCCACACCCAGACCCCGGTCCTCCCGACACTCAGGTGGGCCGCCCCCCCTCACTCTAGATTGAGTGTGAAATATGATTCAAACTATATAAATGACCCATCAATAAAAACAAAATTGATGTCTATTTTCTTGTGTGTGTGTGTGTGTGTGTGTGTGTGTGTGTGTGTGTGTGTGTGTGTGTGTGTGTGTGTGTGTGTGTGTGTGTGTGCAATCCAGACCCTACGTCCTTCCCTGTCCAGTTGATGGACCCCCCAGCAGACTCCCCCCCTCCTGAGCTCCCCCCTAAAGGCATACGCAAATGGAGACCCCCCTCAAAGGTACGCCTGTCAATCTGAGGGCTGTAACTACACACATTGACTCATTACTCACCACAGAGTTAGGGTACTTGAGTTTGTCATTGCTCTTTAACTTTGACTGCACTACATTTCAGAGGCAATACTTTTGATTTGACCACAACTTTTGTTTCTTTACAAATTAAGATTTCTGCACACAAAACAATCAAATAGCTTATCAAATATGTTTGTTATAAAAATAGACAACAGTTTATATGAGCTGAAAACAGCTGAAACTATAAGAAGATGAATGAATATACAAATAATTAAAACAATAATGATGTTAATAACTGTAATGTGTAAGTTGAGGTTTGGACAAAGCAAATGTTGGGAAGATGTCACTTTGGGTTCTGCGTAACTGTGTTCTCACTATTTTCACTCTTATTACAAACACAACTATAGAGATGAAATGTAATGCTTGTATCCTCAGGACCCCACTGAGTGCAGCAGCCCTGTCCTGAAGAAACCCCCGGTGAGTGTCTTTCCTTTCCACAAGTTGAAACTCCGCTGCTCCGGAGGGTTTGAGATGCGACTCATATCACATGTGGTAAAAACACAATCCCAGATTCAAATCCAGCAGGCTCCACATGTATTACAAATATGAAATATCTCCAGTTAAGCTTTTGAGCCTGAACAAAGACTGTTGTAAAATAAAAAAATGGTCATATTTTCTAACATTAAACTCCAAATCTTTCAGTATTATATTAATTTGCTTTGAAATGACAATATGTTTTCTTGCTTTGGAACTTCATCTACATTACCTTTTATTATATCTCATATCATAATCTACCATAGTGTGCAATATCATTTCAATATGTACAAACAAACACTTCTTTATCATATCATAAATTAGTCTGTTTTATACTGAAAACATGAACTTCGCTGTTTCGATATTTACTGTATTCTTATTTTGTTTTATATATCTTTTATATGTTTAGCATACTTGTTCTCTCTGTATCTGTTCGGATGACTTTCCTCGCTCCAACCATCCAGAGAAGCCTTTCTTTAGAGCTATGTTTGAGAAATGGAAATGTGTGTATCTATAAAAGAAAATATAATCATGAAGTATTTTTTCAGTATTATTTGTTTAATAATAATAATAAATTATATTTCTATGGCGCTTTTCTTGAACCCAAAGACGCTTTACATTTGGGAGGGAGGGTAGACAAACAAAACAAAGACAAAGACAAAAAGAAACAAAACAAAACAGAAAAGCAGTCAGGAGGAAGTTGGTTGAGAGGGGGGGCTTATGGATACAGAGTTGGAGAGGTGGGTTTTGAGGCGGGACTGAAACAGGGTGAGGGACTCAGACTCACGGAGGTCTTGGGGGAGGGGGTTCCAGAGCTTCGGGGCTGCCACAGAGAAGGCTCTGTCCCCGAAGCTCCGGAGTCTGGCCTTGGGGATGGAAAGTAAACCGGCTGAGGTGGATCTGAGGGACCGGGGTGGTTGGTAGAGGATGAGGAGGTCAGTGAGGTAGGGGGGGCAGATGGTGGAGGGCTTTGAAAGTGAGGACCAGGAGTTTGTAGTGGATGCGGTGTTTAACTGAACTTGTCACTCATTTGTATAGGCCATAAAACTGATCATAACTTCACTGATCTTTACCAAGCACTTCACTTTCTAACTGACAGTGTTTTTAAGAGCAAAAATATACATTCATCCATGTTCTGAGACTTTGTGTAGGGTCGTGAATCTGTTACACTGTGGACTAAATGAACCCTTAATGCTGCTCTCTCTCCAGGTCTACTTTAAAAAGATCTTCCACGGCTGCCCTCTCAAGATAAACTGCTCCACGACGTGGGAGAGCACGGCCACCAAAGGAGGTATCCTCAGTCTGATGAATCAGAGTAAACCCTCTGTTCTCTCTTCTGATCTGACCTGTGTCTCCTCTGTCCCTCCCTCAGACCAGCACCTGATCCTGGGGGCGGAGGAGGGGATCTACACCCTGAACCTGAGCAGCTCCGAGGCCACCATGGAGCTGGTAGGACCTTCAACATTTATAACACAGAGCTATACCACTGCCTAACTAACTGTGGACTCGGGTGTGGTGGACTCAGTGGCGGCGCCAGAGATTTTCTCTAGGGGGTGCTGTGGGGTAGCTTGACGTTTCATAGAGGGTGCTCAAACATTAAGGGTTTCCCATTAATGCACCAGCGCTACAGTTGAATTTTCTACTGCAACACTCCCCACACACACACACAGTGTGCCCGCGACTGTTACAATGAAGGCTCGGTAATCAGCTCACGGCATATAGGTGTGGGTAAAGTGCTATTTTTACAATTTGGGAGTGGACCTCACCTCCTCTAGGAGGGTCCTCACCTCCTCTAGTGGGGTCAATCTTGAAGATTGTTTTTAAATATTGAAGTTAAAAGCATCAATCTGGTGCACTTTGAGAGCCAAAATGAAGAGATCTATGGATATACAGTATCTCTCAACATACATATGAAACAGAACTGTAAACAGATTTTCTATTTCTTTATAAATATTTTACAAATCACTCCCGTTTTAAAACAAACCGTTTGAGACCCACTGAGATAACTAGACTAAAGTTAACTAAACACAGAGAGTCCTTTACTTCACCTGAGCTGAGGTTATCTGAGACTCTCAGTCTGACAGGAGAGAGTTCTCCCTCCACCTTGTTGTTGAAAAAGCTCCTTATATCTGTTAGCTTGGCTAGCTAGCACCAGATGCTAACCACAACGATCTCCGGTAGATACCCACCGGTGCGCTCTCTCTCTCTCTCGCTCGCTTGCGCACGCACACAAAATGGCTCGTGCCACACACACACAGAGCAGAGCTTGAATGAAACAGACCCAGAAGTAAGCTACTTGTACTCACGAGGCCTATTATGTGCAGAATCCCTCTCGCTTTCAAGTGGTTTTGATTGAGTGTCCACACGTGGACGTTTAAGGACTAAAAAACGATCCATTTGTCACTTTGCTGTTAGCAAATCATTTGGGGCTCCAGGCAACTAACAGGAAGTCACTCAAGTGTCACAAAGTAATTTACCCTATAGGTAGGTCAAAAATTGAATGGGTGCTGGCCATTGGCCTAATCATATCACCTGTGTTGGCTTTATGTTTTTGGTCAAACATTTATTTGTTTCACATTTGCATTGATGTAATCAATAATTTTTCTGATTTAATTTAATAAAAATAATAATAATTTTCGGGAAAAAAAAAAAAACACATTTATTGGGGGTGCTTAGGGGGTGCTTTGGCAATCCTGGGGGGTGCTTCAGCACCCCCTAGCTCCCCCCTGGCGCCGCCCCTGGGTGGACTGCATACATTTACTCAAGTACTGTTCCTAAGGTCACATTTAATGTACTGAACTTAGTATTTCAACGTACTACATCTCAGAGGTGAATATTGTACTGACATTAGTTACATTAGTTACATTAGTTACTTTTCAGATGTCCATGTTTTCATTCCCTCCCTGTCCAGTGAAACCCAAGTATCTCCAGATGTGTTCATGGTGAATGTTCCTATTTTGTGTTGAGGAAATTCTCCCACTTCTTAGACATTAAAAAGTCTTTTTAGATCAGCTCTAAAATGCATCTTCTCAAAGCCGAAGTTTCTGAGAAACCCAGGAAAAGTTGACTTTTGAGAGATATGTGGCAGGTAACTGTGAGCACCACCCTAAACATCTACCACAACATACTGCAACAGTAATATACATCCAATTACATTGTATATAAAGTAAAAACACTGACAGGGACCATTTTATGAACCATAATTACATCTCATTACAGTGTCTACATACTTCTCCCATCACTGCTGAAAATCAGTCACACTCTATCAGTGGTAGAAAGCTTGAAATGAGTGGAGGTCTTCTTCTTCTCTTTCAGCTGTATCCAGGGAAGTGTACATGGGTCTACACCATCAATAACGTCCTCATGTCTGTGTCAGGTAAACTGAATAAGAATTCAATCTTAATTTAGCTGTGTGTCTCTGTTCACTCAGAACTTACAGAAAATATAACAGGACAGTTTAGTATTTTTAGTTTTTTATTTTAGTCGGCAGAATAACTTATTTTGTTGAATTGAGTGGTTTGAGACAGAATCAGAAGACAGTGATCAAACTCTGGATACAAATATAGATATTCCCTAATTGATCATGCATGTGTTACTTTGTCCATCATATTATTCAGTCAGAAGCCAAGTGACCTAATAATAATAATACACTTTATTTATATAGCACCTTTCATAACATAGTTATAAAGTGCTTTAACATAGAAATGCACAGACAGCAGGTACATTAAACAACAGCATATAAGCATAAGAACACAAAGTAAAACACATAGAAAATAATGAAACAAACAATAAAAATGGAAAATAAAAAAGGACAACAAATAAAATCACATAAAAGCTATTCTAAAAAGGTGAGATTTTAAAAGTGACTTAAACAAGCAGACAGATACTGCAGCCCTGATCTCCTCGGGAGTTCCAAAGTCTTTAGAAGGTCAGATAAGAACCTCTCAATGCCTTAAAAGTCAGCAATACAATAACAAATCAACTTTTCCTGCACATTTACATGGAATTATGACAAAGTCAGGGGGGTGTCCAGACTGATGTTAGTGATGATGTGTGTGTTTCTCTGTCTACCTGTATCCACCCTGTGATGGAATCGACTGCTCTGATTGGTTCCAGGTAAATCCTCTCAGCTCCACTCACACTCCCTGAAGGAGCTTTACGAACAGGCTCGCAGAGACCAGAGGATGGTTTCCCTGCCGACTCACAGACTGTTACCAAGGTAACACTCTTTACTTATTGTTTAATTCGAATATTTCATAATTTTCTAAATAAGGCAAGGCAAGTTTATTTATATAGCACTTTTCAACACAAGGCAATTCAAGGTGCTTTACAAAAATGAAAGACATTCAGACAAAGGCATTTAAAAACAGTCATTAAAAAGAAAAGATAATAAAAGAAACATTAAAAGAAAAAATACATGAATAAAAAGTACATGAATAAAAATTACATGAATAAAAAGTTACAGTGCAGTTTAAGATATGAATAGTTCACACAGAAGTTACACTTTGCTGATGAACACAACGGCTCAGTTTCAATTAAAAGCAGCGACAAAAGAAAAGTCTTTAGTCTGGATTTAAAAGAAGTCAGAGTTGCAGCGGACCTGCAGGTTTCTGGGAGTTTGTTCCAGATATTTGGAGCATAATAACTGAACGCTGCTTTACCATGTTTAGTTCTGACTCTGGGGACAGAAAGCTGACCAGTCCCTGAAGACCTGAGAGATCTGGATGGTTCATCATTTAGCAGAAGATCAGAAATGTATTTTGGGCCTAAACCATTCAAAGCTTTATAAACCAGCAGCAGTATTTAGAAATCTATTCTTTGACACACAGGAAGCCAGTGTAAAGACTTCAGAACAGGAGTGATGTGATCCACTTTCTTAGTGTTAGTGAGGACTCGAGCAGCGGCGTTCTGAATTAGCTGCAGCTTTCTAATAGTGAGATCTGTAAAGACACCATTACAGTAGTCCAGTCTACTTAAGATAAAAGCATGGACAAGTTTTTCCAAATCCTGCTGTGACATTAGTCTTTTAATCCTAGATATATTCTTTAGGTGATAGTAGGCTGATTTAGTAACTGTTTTAATGTGACTGTTGAAACTCAGGTCAGAGTCCATGACTACACCTAGATTTCTGGCTTTATCTGTTGTTTTGAACATTGCAGACTGAAGCTCAGCGCTAACTTTTATACGTTCTGACTTGGCTCCAAAAACCATTACCTCAGTTTTATCTTTGTTTAATTGGAGAAAGTTCTGACACATCCAGTCATTGATTTGTTCAATGCACTTACTCAGTGTTTGAATTGGAGCATAGTCTCCTGGTGAAATTGTTACGTAAATTTGTGTGTCATCTGCATAGCTATGGTAACTTATTTTGTTGTTCTTCATTATCTGAGCCAGTGGTAGCATGTAGACGTTAAAGAGAAGAGGCCCCAAGATGGAGCCTTGAGGAACCCCACATGTCATATTTGTCAACTCAGATTTGTATTTACCTAAATAACACATTTGCTCATGCCAGTTCAAAGCTAAATTATTTTTGTATTTTTTTGTTTACAGGAAAATTTCAGTGACATGTAAAATACCTGATACTAAAGGCTGCAAGACCTGCGCAGTTGGTGAGAAAAAAAACTGAAGTATTGCAACAAAAAAAATTCTGTGCAGAGAGAATGTGTGATGGACACATGGATACATTCAGGCTGCACGTAATTACCTTCATTTGAATAGTGTGTGTAGTGATGCAGTTGGACAGGATGCTCCCTTTATATGGCTGTCAGCTCTTTTTGAAACCAAATTAGCTCAATGCAAGTTTGAGAATTGAAATTCAGTTTTTCTTGTTAAAGGTTAGTAGTTTTATTGAAAAAACAAATCAAGGGTGGATGAGCTCCTAGTGCCTGTTATAAAGTACATTGAATTGCTTTCATATAATAAATTCAACAATGTAATCAGGTTGTTCCAACAATTTGCTGGTCTCAATCTAAAGTGTTATTATTCCATAGGAATGTGTGTTATTGTCCAAGACAGACTGTATTTTGTAGTAACTGACAAGTACCACAAGATGGGAGTAGCTACATACAAAGTACTGTGTGCAAAATCTGTGAAGGCGTTGAGGGAAATGCTACTGGGGTTTGGATTTGAAATATTAAGATACAGAAAATAGTCTGTCTTAATGCAGTAAGAAAACATTTAAACAGGGCAATGCGGAGCAGATGAGAAAAGAATAAAGCTTTATACTAACACATGACCAAATAAACTTTCAAATAGACATAAGGCCTGTTTCTGATATATGCCTCCAATAAAGGGCTAGCACTTTTAAACAATGCCCCAGTACACTGTGAGAGGACTAACTGCAGTGTGTGTCCTGCAGCAGGCAGCGTGGGGGGGTGTGTGTTCCTGTGCTGCGGACTGGAGTCCAGCGTGGTGCTGCTGCAGTGGTACGAGCCCATGCACAAGTTCATGCTCATCAAGGTATGTTGATGAAAAATAAGGTCAACGTTTAAAATGTCAGGAAGGCAGAAGCAAACCATCTCGTTTAAGTTAATCATTTTCATCAGTTACTTCTGTAGAACCCAAAAGAAGACGAAGGCTTTTATTTGAAAGAGGCCCCATTCTGCCTTTTGTATCTTCCCTTTCCTGTAGTGTGTTCTAGAGGTTTGTATGTATCTAAATGGTCTGCATAGGCTAAAATCCTGCAAAGGCTAAAATCCCTGTGTTCCCTCCAGTAGGGGGTGCTTCTTTTTTTAAATATTGAAGTTAAATGCATCAATCTGGTGCACTTTTAGAGCAAAATTAAGAGATCTCATCTCTCAACACCCATGTGAAACAGAACTGTAAACAGATTTACTCTTTCTTTATGGATATTTTACAAATCACTCCCCTTTTAAACGGTATTCTTGTTTTACTGTCATATGACCAAATAAATAATTCATACCTGTTTTTCATTTATGCTCTTATATTTTTATAACTATAATGATCATATAAACGTGTGCTTCGGAAATAATTGTTTACATGAATCGTAACCAAACCGTTTGAGACACACTGAGATAACTTAGACTAAAGTTAACTATCTAAACACTCAAAGAGTCCTTTACCTCAGAGGACTCTCCCTTTACCTTGTTGTGGAAACAGCTCCTTATATCCATTAAAGTAGCTAGCTAGCATCAGATGCTAACAACGATACTCGGTACCGGTGCAGTCTCTCTCTCGCTCGCTCGCTGGCACACGCACACAAAATGGCTCGTGCCACACACACACAGAGCCGAGCTTGAATGAAACACAGAGACACAGAAGTACCTGTACTGTACTGTAGCATATTGTTTTGGAATCAATCAAAAACAAGACTGGGCTCTGGTTTCAGACAGAGAGTGAAAAGAGGTGCTGCAGCACATTAAAGCATGGAGACATGTCCCAGTAGAGACACTACATACTGATATACACCTGAACATCAGCAGGAGAGGACTCTTTAAAGTAGAGACACTACATACTGATATACACCTGAACATCAGCAGGAGAGGACTCTTTAAAGTAGAGACACTACATACTGATATACACCTGAACATCAGCAGGAGAGGACTCTTTAAAGTAGAGACACTACATACTGATATACACCTGAACATCAGCAGGAGAGGACTCTTTAAAGTAGAGACACTACATACTGATATGCACCTGAACATCAGCAGGAAAGGACTCTTTAAAGTAGAGACACTACATACTGAAATACACCTGAACATCAGCAGGAGAGGACTCTTTAAAGTAGAGACACTACATACTGATATACACCTGAACATCAGCAGGAGAGGACTCTTTAAAGTAGAGACACTACATACTGATATACACCTGAACATCAGCAGGAGAGGACTCTTTAAAGTAGAGACACTACATACTGATATACACCTGAACATCAGCAGGAGAGGACTCTTTAAAGTAGAGACGCTATACATACTGATATACACCTGAACATCAGCAGGAGAGGACTCTTTAAAGTAGAGACACTACATACTGATATACACCTGAACATCCGCAGGAGAGGACTCTTTAAAGTAGAGACACTACATACTGATATGCACCTGAACATCAGCCGGAGAGGACTCTTTAAAGTAGATACACTACATACTGATATACACCTGAACATCAACAGGAGAGGACTCTTTAAAGTAGAGACACTACATACTGATATACACCTGAACATCAGCAGGAGAGGACTCTTTAAAGTAGAGACACTACATACTGATATGCACCTGAACATCAGCCGGAGAGGACTCTTTAAAGTAGAGACACTACATACTGATATGCACCTGAACATCAGCCGGAGAGGACTCTTTAAAGTAGATACACTACATACTGATATACACCTGAACATCAACAGGAGAGGACTCTTTAAAGTAGAGACACTACATACTGATATACACCTGAACATCAGCAGGAGAGGACTCTTTAAAGTAGAGACACTACATACTGATATGCACCTGAACATCAGCCGGAGAGGACTCTTTAAAGTAGATACACTACATACTGATATACACCTGAACATCAGCAGGAGAGGACTCTTTGAAGTAGAGACGCTACATACTGATATACACCTGAACATCAGCAGGAGAGGACTCTTTAAAGTAGAGACACTACATACTGATATACACCTGCACATCAGCAGGAGAGGACTCTTTAAAGTAGAGACACTACATACTGATATACACCTGAACATCAGCAGGAGAGGACTCTTTAAAGTAGAGACACTACATACTGATATACACCTGAACATCAGCAGGAGAGAACTCTTTAAAGTAGAGACACTACATACTGATATACACCTGAACATCAGCAGGAGAGAACTCTTTAAAGTAGAGACACTACATACTGATATGAACCTGAAAAATAGCAGAATACGGCCTCTTTAAGCCAGGTGTATTTTCACTCAGTGGTGGAAAGTAGTACATTTACTCAACCACAATTTGAGATACTGAGTATTAAGGTTTTCTGCCCCCCTATTCTTGCACTACATTACTTATTTTGAACCTTTTTAACACTAGAATCATCTGATAGCTTTAGTGACTTTTAAATGTATGATTTTGTAAACAAAACATGATTAGTATTTGGAATATTATCCATTGTTGCAGATTCAAGTGCAGTCTAAGTCCTCATGAATTCTCCTTTACATCTTGCCTTGAGCTCATGACGTTCTGCAACAAGATAAATGAAAAGTGGTTAGGAAAAAACGTTATGATTTTGCCTTCTGAATTCGACACATTTTAGCTGTATGGAGGACCTTTTAACGTCCCCAGAAGTTGTGTATCCTGTAACAGGGTCAACATACAATGTGTTTTAATAACTGTATCATAATCTCAGCCTTTGTCTTCCTGTAAAGTGCATACAAAAAATATGCTGAGGTATTTTAAAAGAGTCAACAGTAACTGTATAATATACTGTGATAAAGGAACACCTGTGAACTCATTATGAAAATACAATGATACAGTACAGTACGTGCAGGTTTATAGGAGTATTGTGTGCTGCCTTGGCTTATCTTTCAGTCTTTGATATTTCTACTAGGCTGTTAACACAGACAGCAGCTAATAAAACCACTGTAGGCAGGGAAATAAAGCATTTTATGATCACGGTTACATTTGATAGTTTGCTTTACATAAAATGGTTTATGTTTTTGGGAACAGATGCTCAGTCAAACACTGTGCTGCTCAGAGATGCAGAGCCCTCATAGAAAGCACTTCATTTACTAACAGGAAACCCTTGACTTTCCTCTATCCCGCAGAATTTGGACTTCCCCCTGCCCAGCCCCCTGCGTGTGTTTGAGATGGTGACGGTGCCGCAGCAGGAGTACCCGCTGGTGTGTATCGGCATCTCTCGGGGGGCCAGCCCCCACCAGCCAGTCAATGTAGAATACATCAACCTCAACTCTAACACATCCTGGTTCACCCACTCTGGCCTGGGTATGTCATATATTACAGTGAAACAAATGATATAAAGACTTTAGACAAGTGACAAAAAACACACCATGATCTGAATACCAGAGCACGGTCTGTCTGCTTTTAATGAATCCTTTAAATGTCTCTCTTTACCTCAATGTGTTGGCTACCCTTTCATTCTTTCATAATGTTCCAACAGATGGTCCTACTCTGGATGAAAATATAAATCTTCCTTCTATTATCATGTTTGTATCTGCTTGTGCATTCTGTGTGTGTTCTTACAGAGAGACCTTGCCCAGATGTAGTCCAAGTGAACCAGTTGAACAGTAGCTCGCTGCTCGTCCTCGTAGCGAGTAAGTCACATATTTTTCAGATACTAACGACACAAAATATCTCTTATAGTATCGTGGTGGTACTGGGTCAACTTTCTGCAGGAGCAGTTACTTTACCTTGATATACTCATACTTACTGTTTACATCTCTGTGTATATACAGTGGGGCAAAAAAGTATGTAGTCAGCCACCAATTGTGCAAGTTCTCCCACTTAAAAAGATGATTGAGGCCTGTAATTTTCATCCTAGGTACACTTCAACTATGAGAGACAGAATGAGAAAAACAAATCCAGAAAATCACATGTCTGATTTTTAAATAATTTATTTGCAAATTATGGTGGAAAATAAGTATTTGGTCAATAACAAAAGTTCATCTCAATACTTTGTTATATACCCTTTGTTGGCAAAGACAGAGGTCAAACGTTTTCTGTAAGTCTTCACAAGGTTTTCACACACTGTTGCTGGTATTTTGGCCCATTCCTCCATGCAGATCTCTGGGGTTGAGATCTGGAGACTGGCTAGGCCACTCCAGGACCTTGAAATGCTTCTTACGAAGCCACTCCTTCGTTGCCCGGGCGGTGTGTTTGGGATCATTGTCATGCTGAAAGACCCAGCCACGTTTCATCTTCAATGCCCTTGCTGATGGAAGGAGGTTGTCACTCAAAATCTCACGATACATGGCCCCATTCATTCTTTCCTTTACACGGATCAGTCGTCCTGGTCCCTTTGCAGAAAAACAGCCCCAAAGCATGATGTTTCCACCCCCATGTTTCACAGTAGGTATGGTGTTCTTTGGATGCAACTCAGCATTCTTTCTCCTCCAAACACGTCTAGTTGAGTTTTTACCAAAAAGTTATATTTTGGTTTCATCTGACCATATGACATTCTCCCAATCCTCTTCTGGATCATCTAAATGCTCTCTAGCAAACTTCAGACGGGCCTGGACATGTACTGGCTTAAGCAGGGGGACACGTCTGGCACTGCAGGATTTGAGTCCCTGGCAGCGTAGTGTGTTACTGATGGTAGCCTTTGTTACTTTGGTCTCAGCTCTCTGCAGGTCATTGACTAGGTCCCCCTGTGTGGTTCTGGGATTTTTGCTCACCGTTCTTGTGATCATTTTGACCCCACGGGGTGAGATCTTGCCTGGAGCCCCAGATCGAGGGAGATTATCAGTGGTCTTGTATGTCTTCCATTTTCTAATAATTGCTCCCACAGTTGATTTCTTCACACCAAGCTGCTTACCTATTGCAGATTCAGTCTTCCCAGCCTGGTGCAGGTCTACAATTTAGTTTCTGGTGTCCTTTGACAGCTCTTTGGTCTTGGCCATAGTGGAGTTTGGAGTGTGACTGTTTGAGGTTGTGGACAGGTGTCTTTTATACTGATAACGAGTTCAAACAGGTGCCATTAATACAGTTAACAAGTGGAGGACAGAGGAGGCTCTTAAAGGGATAGTGGAAATCCGTGAATTTTGGGTTTAACTTATGTATTTTTATTAAAAATAAGCATAATAAACAATTTTTTTTTATTTCATGCGCCTAGTTTCATTTTATTTTCAATTTTACTGCGCCCTCTCAATGAAACGAAATACTTCGGGAATCGTCGGGAATCTTCGGGTGATGACGAGAGCATAGGAAGACGGGCACAAACAATGGCGGACATTCAATAGCATTTGCATGTGAATAGCCGACCTTTATTATGGTACCGAGTATATTGCCATAAATATGATGATTGATTATCAGTAAAAAATTCTACGTGACACAACGACATTGGATTAACCTTGAGATGCGTTTTTATTCCGTTGAACACAACTTTTGATCACAAATCAAAAAAGGTAAGACGTAATTATTGTAATATTTTTGGAACCGGATGTTGTTTACTTTCTCTTTTCTGGCTGATAGCTCCAGGAATTTGAGGTCTTACAGTGATGACATTACATGTGTGGAATCTGTGGAGTCTCAGCTTTAAATCGTATATCTTGTTTGTGCAGTTAAGATAGTAATAAGGGCATTTCTACCGTGTGTTGTGTGTAAAAAAGCGTTAGCATTAGTTAGCATTGTTTCGCTCAATGCTAATTCAAAGGCTTGGTATTACTCTTGTGTTTTTTCTAGCTAACAATTGTTCTTGTTGTCAGTTAGCGGAGTTTCTTACCTTTAAAAGGGTATGAAACATTAATAGTTTCATAAATGTTAAGAAGCCCTGAGACATGTGAGAGAAAAAAAACTGTGGGAGGGGTCCACTGGGGGGACCTTCGGCCTTAACTGGTTAACAATGATTAATATTTGTAAAGGCTACAGGGGATCTTAAGATGCGTGAGCTATGCTTAGGGACCTACCAGTCAAGATTATTTGTGCGTAGGGGTGCATCATCTGGCGCCTGGTCCTGGTCATCCTCGCCATTGCCCATGCCGTGAACCATCACCTCGGGCTCGGGCTCCAACAAATAAGGACGTAATGGTCCATCGTCTGGCTCAATATTGTCACCATCGTCGCTTACTGAACCGGATTCAGATTCAGTTCCTAAAACGACATTTTCGTAGGAAAGCCGAGAGGATGTTTCTGACTCGCTATCATCACTGGATACCTCGTACAATCCTTCTTCTTTGTCTGGTATATTTGCCCTTCCACGTTCATTCTGCATAGACGCCATGGTTTGTTATCGTATCGTCTTCCTAAGTTTTCGTCACTTCCGGTTTGGCTGAGTCGAACATTTCGTTTCTAAAAAACTTCGGGGAAGCTGCAATAAAGTGCTTCTAACATGCGTAAGGCAATTATTATATTTTTTTAATCAGGTGTGATTGTTTTGGTACGTAATTATGCTTGTATATAAGTTAAAACGAAACTATTTGAGGTTCCATTTCCACTATCCCTTTAAAGAAGAAGTTACAGGTCTGTGAGAGCCAGAAATCTTGTTTGTTTGTAGGTGACCAAATACTTATTTTACTGAGGAATTTACCAATTAATTCATTAAAAATCCTACAATGTGATTTCCTGGATTCTTTCCCCCCATTCTGTCTCTCATAGTTGAAGTGTACCTAGGATGACAATTACAGGCCTCTCTCATCTTTTTAAGTGGGAGAACTTGCACAATTGGTGGCTGACTAAATACTTTTTTGCCCCACTGTATCTATTACTTATCATTACTCATATACAGTTATTACTGTACACCAAAAATATATTTATTTAGTTATATGTAATATTTCACCCCTATATCTCAATTTCTGCACTTCTTTATGTCTTTGATTTAGATTTTTAGATAGTGATAGCTAATAAGTGTTGAGTATATGACAGCAATAACTTGGAACTTGTATAAATAATCAATAAGAATAAACATAAAACATAATAATGAAATATAGACATTATTTATATCTTGATTATATCAAATGCCAAAAATGTAATTTTCTTAGTGTTTTTTACAAAATAGGCCTATGTTGTGAAGACAATAAACAAGGTGACATTTTTTTTTCTTTAACAGGCAGACTTAACACTATTTTAGCTTCTCTTTCCCTCTGGGCTAATATTTAAAAGTACTTCCCCAATAGTTCTACAACTGCAACAACACTCTGTGCTGCCCACATGCGATGAGAGAGTGTAACTGCACATTACATTCAGTCTATATCCCGCTCCTGTCTTTGCTATTCCCTCACCTGTCCCTCTCCTCCAGAGTCGGTGCACATCGTGGGTCTGGAGGGGGAGCTGAAGAGCAGCAGGCCTCTGACACATGAGACCACCTTCACTCATGAAGTCCAGTCTATAGGTGAGACCTCACAGAGCAGTAACTACACTCACTCTAATACTCAAGTTCAAATTTGATTTTCTTGAGTACTTTTTGGCCACTTAATACTCTTACTCCACTACATCTCAGAGGTAAATCCTTTACTTTTTACTCCACTGAGCTGTAAAATGCATCGTCATGAAGCTGAAAACAGAGCTGTGGACATATGGCAAAGTACATGACATATGATGATCTTAAGGAATATGATGCATTGCTGGAGATTGATCTGCCCTAGGGATAGGGGTTGAATGCAGGACTTTTACTTGTAGAGTATTTCAGTTGTACTTTCACTCCAGTAAATGACTTAAATACTTCTTCCACCACTGCTGTCCAGTGATGCCTAACCTTTAAAGCTCTGTCTGTCTGCTGTCTGTCTCTCAGTGTATTTTGAGGACACTCTGCTGGCAGTGTGGCGTCACGGCTGGCAGAGGAGAGGACAGGGTTTTACTGAGGTGCTAGAGGAGACCACGGACCCCAGGAAGACCTACAGACTGGTGCAGTCAGACAGGTACAGCAGAACTTTACTCAGGGGTATGTTTGATTAGATTTGTAGTTCCTGCAGTGTGGGCTCTTTTGTTATTCTGTTGTATGGCTTTTTTTTGCTACGCCTAGGTGCCTACTAATCAGCTGGGCTGCAGTTTATTACAAACAACTGAAAAATGTCACTTCACACAGCAGGTATAATGTGAATCGTGTTCACACTCCTAGATTAGCATGCTAACATTTGCTAACTGCTATTAGAAAAAGTAACAAAAAACATGTAACCTTAGATGTCATTTTGATAGTACTCGTGAGTATTTCCATTACAGTATATGCAACTTAATACGGCAATTCATTGCAGAGGGAAATATTGTGCTTTTTAATCCTCTACATTTATGTATGTATAAGTCACTTTACATACTCATATAGCTGAGTAGAATTCATGCATAAAAAAAAAATATATATATATATTTGTACAAAATGTCATGGGCATTAATTTAACAGATATTTTAGTCTGGACAAAGTGATGGACTGACTGATATCTGAATATTAGGATATAATCTAGATTTGCATCATGCACAGAAACATGTATGTGACTTTATCCTTTCATATATAAAAATAGGATTTTGAAGAGTTTATGCAGGTTTACACTAAATTCCTCTGACCTCCCTGACCTCCTACCTGCAGGATGGTCGTCTTGGAGATGCGTCAGATCGATGACCAGACGGGGATGTCCAACCTGTACGTCCTGGAAATAGCGGAGAACTACGTCATGCTGCCCTGACTCTCCGTCTACCGGCGAACGGCTTCATGGGAGACTCCAGATTATATGTGAATGTCTCCGCAGGACTCTGATCTGTCATCAGTGACTTTGATGGGCATGGATGTCACAGTCTTTTAATTTCTAATGGGAGGAGAGGAGAGAAGTCAGAAATAAATGATAGCATGATGTTGCAAGGGTAAGCCAACCCTTACTTAGGCTGATTTCAATATGTGAGATACAGAATTGAGAAAGCTGAGGAAAATAAATGAACAGTGAAGGAAGGTCCTCCAACACTACAGAGGGAGTTCTACTTTCTTCTTCTGCTGCAGCCGCCTGCAGGGACTGAGATACACAACGGCTTCCAGAGGAACTCACACAGGAATAAAGGACTGGAAAGATTCATGATGTGATTTATATCCTGAGTTTGTGTGTCAGTGTTGGATCCATAAAACACACTTCTTACTGCCGTTACTTTGTAATAAAAATGAATTAACTTAAGATGAGGTGAACTGTACTGATCTCAGAGCAAAACACAGAAAATAAGGTCCCATTAATGGCAGAGTGTGTATTCCCTTTGTAAGCTGAAAACAGAAAACGGTTAGGGGCCGGTGACATCACAAGGAGGAGCGAATAGTCAAATTAACTATTTATATGGTACATAAAAGTGGCATATTTGGTGATTTGTCAACCAAATTGAGTAATGACAGGCATATTACGATTGTAATCAGCTTTGGAGAAACAAAATATATTTAGTTTTTTGGGAGGACAAAATATTAACAAAATAAAGAATTTTGCTGTTAAATATTTAAACAAAATTAGATAACTTGGGAGGAATCACTTTCACTGCTTTGTTGTATCTCGGGAAGGGGTATCTTAAAAAAGGAAGAGCTTTAGGGGGTTTGTCACATCTGTGTTGCTTATGTCAACACACTTAATGTGTGTCCATGTGCTGCTAAGGGACAAACAGGTATATAGTTTAAATGATTCTACTGTTTTGTTCCATAATAAATTAATAATAAATCATTTTCACACATTTTGAAAATGTAGCCTTCCGAAGACACAAAGGCTTTATGGGCTATAGGGCAGTAGTGTGACTCACTACTAAATATATGTCCATGTTATGCCAGCCTTCTCTATAGCCTGAGCTGCTTCTATGCTGCCTTTTTTTAAGTTGGTCCTGTTTGGTGCCACTTTGAGGTTAATTGGCGGATAAATGAAGCAGCTGTGCGGGCCGGTGCCCTCTCTTTATCCCCGACACACCAGGAGGATGCGCAGTGCCGGGCCGGGCCAGCAGCAGCAGCATCGACGCAGCATCACACGTAGCCCACTTCACGCACACTGATGGACGGAGGCAGAGCCCTTGTCGAGGAGGATGCTCTCACCGGCTCAGAAGGGCTTTCTTTCGGGGTTTATTTACCAGGCAGCAGCGGTTTGCTCGCCGGTGCTGGTGTAAAATGCACTGAGGCAGAGCGAGAGTGCTGGTCGGCCTAGCTGATCTCAGCCGCTCGGCAAATGTGTCCCCAATTGTATTCTAGTAGGCTACATCTTGATTAAATCGTTATTATTTCCAGGTCAGAATCTCAGTTTCCTGTGCGGCTTGTTTGTACTGAAAATGGCCGGAGATGGCGGCGCTCTGAAGGATATCAATGAGATTAAATCCCAGTTCCGGACCAGAGAGGGCTTCTACAAGCTGCTCACGCTCTCGGACTCGCAGCAGCGGGGCGGGCTGCCGCGGGGTCCCTCATCCGGAGCCACGCTGGGCCCCGGGGCTGGACCCGGTCCGATACCCGGCGGAGGGGTCGGGCTGCTGCAGGGGCCCGGGGCTGCCGCCGCCTCCTCCTCCAATGCTGCAGCCAACTCCTCTCCAGCGGGTTTCCTGCCTCCGGTCCGGGTCTCCATGGTGAAGCTGCAGCCCGAAGACCCGGGCGAGGAGTCGGAGCGGGTGTGCTTCAACATCGGCAGGGAGCTGTATTTCTACACGTACACCAACATCAAGAAGGTGAGCCTGATCTCCTCCGCTGTGAGCCCGGATGAGAGGCTGGATGCTCAGGCTTAGTTTAGCATGCTAGTCTGCTCTGCTAATATGATGCTCATTACATTATTATTTTTAAACCGACGCTTTTTGGCTGCTCGTGCTGCACAGAGGAGGCATCGTGCACATATGAAGTCTCCTTTAATGTATGCAATGCGACGTGATAGTGTGTGTGTGAACCTTTATATATACAGTCTATGGTGTGAACACAGGGGATGGTGCATGATGCAGACGGTGCAGTGTCAGTGGAGGGCGGCTCCAGTGTTACTACACACAGGAAGCTCTGACTTCACTCCCATTCACATGCAGCCATGTGAATCTCTCCACTGCATTCTGAATGTTGTATTATTGTAGGCCTATACATTCAGTGTACTTTATTCGAGTATTGAGTAAGTATTCATACTTAGACTTCTTAATTATCATCTCAGATACACATTTACAGCCTACTTACTCCACGAATGTGTCTGACAGCTGATTACAGTGGTTCATTCCCTTCCTGTCCAGGGAAAACAAGAAGAATATGTTGCGTTTCTGCAGATTCAACTACCAGCAGTAGGCCTATATATTTACAAAAGTCAAGATTAGCAAAACATCTGCAGCTGTAAAATATAATATACACATTAACACAGCAGTTCTATTTATACAAAAATACAATATATAATAGTATATGCTAACATACGATTTTACTGCTTGAATACTTTTACTTCTCATAGATTAAGTACATTTAGCAAATAGTGCCTTCTTTTACTTCTAGTTGATTATTTTTATGGTGTTGTATTCGTACTTTTATCGAATCAAAGGATATAGGCTACACTTCTTCCATCAATGTCCTAATGTTAAAGAGATATAAGAATATGTAGTTTCCAGCACATGGTTTACACTATTGATGATGTTGCTTTTAAAACTGAAATCGTCTTTATAGCACTCACGCTGCATCACTGAGCTGATAATGTAGTGTTATTCAAAGTTTCTTATCTCCTGCTGCCAGCAAAGCTTCAGAGCAATATCTGGGGGGACTACTCTATACTTCTGAATGCTTGTTCGTGCTTTTAGGGTGCATTCACACCTAATATACCTCATTCACACCAACGCAACTCCGGTTCAAGCTCCGTGCTAGAGCTTTTCAGATTCAGAACCGGTTCTTCGGTTTAGCTCCGGCTCTTTTCACACCGCCCAGAGTCCGACTGGTGCTGCGTCATTGTGTCATCGTTTACGTCATGACGTAACCGTTTGCGTGCCTGCTTCATAAAGCCAAACCGCAAGGAAACCCCTCACAGCTCACACCGACAACAACAACAATGGCCGATTGTGCTCCAGCTTCATCTGTACCTCTTCAGAAGACCAGATTCCCAGTAGGTAGCTGGTCTCTTCAGTGGACCACTGCTGCTTGTTAAGTTTCTCCATCGTTGTGTACAAACTGGATAAAACGCAGCCTTTTTGTTGTTGTTCAGGAGTTGATCCCGCCCCTGCCCCCGCCTCGACGTAAGCGTGACGTATGCGGTGCTTTTGCTCTAGCCGGACAATTTTTTGGTGCTTGAAACGAACCGGATTCCGGAGCTAAGAGGCTGCTCCGCTGCGGTGTGAACAGGAAAACCCGGTGCTTTTCAAGCTCCAGCTCCGAACCGGCCCTGAAACACCGTTAATAGTAATAGTCCGCTTCTCTGGTGTGTGCCAGACCACAGTTTGTTAAATTGTTTCATTTTCCAGAAGGTTCGGTTTGCATTCACACGGGCAAAACTCAAACGGACTATAAACTTTAAACACAAGTCATGTGCACGGAAATGCTCTTCAACCATTGGTCAGACATTAAGGGCGTAAAAACGCAAATCCCGGCAATTTCTACCGGAGCCTCCGCCATGGAGCATCGGTACTTTCGGCAGGTTATTCTCATGCTGCTGTTAATCTGGAGATCAACAGACACTAGCGGCCCGCACATATGATTATATAATCAGACAACGTCCGTTAAAAAACATTATAATGTAGAGCCGATGAACGGGAGTCAGAGGCGGTGCATTCAGAATGGATTTCCACACTTTATTATTCATTAATCCAGAAGACGTGAGTACATGTGCTGCTCTGTGTAACCAGCTAGCATGAATAACCCCAAACCCCGGTACCCTCACTAACCGGTCCGGGTTGCAACACACACTATATCATACAGTGAATTATGTCCCGTAACTGTCACCACAATAACACATATAATGAGAGACGTTCTGCAGTCAGGAGGGGCGTTTCACCGACGACAGGAGTTCTTAATTTTATGTAGGCCTAGTTGACGGAGCATTTTTACTTTACACGACACTGTTCAACACTTAATTCTGCTTCACTCTTTAACTAAACAACCGCAGATGTCTTGAAAGAGTCTTTCGCTAAAGATTTTTGACGACATCCGCGTTCTTGTGACACGTAAATACTACGCTTCCTATGTTTTGGTGCGGACTGCGTTCACACCAGCAATGAACCGCTCCAGAGTTCGCAAGCAAGCACTCCGAGACCACCTATTTTAGGGGACCAGAGTCCGGTTGTTTAGTTCACTTAAGAGGTCTCGCACTGTGTTCACACCGACCCAAATGAACCGCACCAAGCGGCTAAACTTGTAGAAAGTCCTCTTTAAAAATACACGTTATTTGTATAAAGGGTTTGTTTTGTACATCAAAAGCAGAATGCTGAACATCCAGACTGACAGTGTAACGGGCAGAGTAACTAAGAGCCTCTGAGCAACAGTTCAATAAGAACAGAAGAAATCAGCAGTCATTGGCGAGAGAAGCTGTTAGCTTAGCATCAACATGTGTGCTGATTTAAATTAAAAAAGCTTTCTGGTCCAGTGTCAAGTGTACAATAATACCTCTAACAAGCTGGACTGAACTGCTCTAGCAAAGCTGTTCTTTAAACTTCAACAGAAACAGAATGTTAGTGGACGCACTGTGTGAATATCAGCTGGACATGTGACTGACAGATCACAGTTTAAAGCTCTATAGTCTAACACTGAGTGCAGAGTTTTTAAAAACAGATTCAGCTCAATAATATTCTCGATCAATAATTATTTGAGGGTCACCTAACGCTTTTCGGTACTAACCAATTCTAAATCTTAGTAGCACTAGCATCAGCATCCTCTCCTTTCCTGTAAGATTTTGGGGACATCAACATCATCTACGTGGAAGTTTGAATTATTTGGTTATTTTTCATGTAGGTCCACAACTATTTAAAATATAAATAACATATTTAGACAGCAGGTGATTCCAACCTTGCCAGTTTTGTATTATTTTCAATATTTTATTATATTAATTTACAAATATAATTTCTGAGGAAGGCAGTCGTATTTTCATTTGTCCGCCAGTTTCTCCTCACGCAGCTTTTCTTTAGCATTGGGCTGAAATTGCTTGCAGCAAGCTGCACCACTTGCTTCCTAATGAGGAATGCTAATAACCTATTTAGGAGGGACTGCAGGACTAATGTAAAAAGCTTCTCCTCTGTAAACGTGACATGGATCCATGAGGGAACATTTTGTATCAGACTACCTTTTTGAAATATCAGAGCTATCTGTTCACTGCGCAGAATGAGTCACACATTTGTAGATTCATCATATTCTATTTTAATCGGTCATAATGAAATAACTCCACAAGTTAGTATCAATAGGCGCTTTCACACCGGAGTACTTTTCCCAGTATAGTTCCGATAATTCTTGAAATGTTGCGTTCACAGCAAAAAAATTAGTTAATGTGAACCTTTTCACCGATTAATACGAAAACCCTCTTTTCAGTCCCTGTTAGAGAGCAGGTACTTTCATGGGAGAAAAAGGTTCCCATTTCTGATTGGCTGGGCGGATTGCAAACCACGCCCCGTAAAACTCTGAAAAGTTTTGTGAAGCCGCCATTGTATTTGCTGGCATTAGCATTAGCCCAGCGCACCAACAAGGTGCGACTAACTAACAACTAACTTATGGCAACACAAAAAAAAACATGGGAGTGGTGGAGTGATGAGGAGGTGTCGGAGTTCTGGCAATTTACTCGGAAGGCTTAAGTAGAAGCTGCTGGGAGTCCCAATGTGACTTTTCTGCAATTACGCTTGGCAATCATCTGTCAAATACCAATTACCAAATGATAAATGAGCCCAGAAATGTAACATACATGTACACTTGTAGCAGATGTTTATACCTTTTTTGTAACAGAATTATTGCTTTCATGTTAATCCTACGTAGGGCTGCTCAATTAATCGTATTGTAACGATCACAAAGGGAGTCGGAAACAGGCTGCTAGTTATTAGGCTTTAATAACTCTTCTTCTTTACAGATGATCACAGGTTCAGGAACAGCTTGTGGGTTCAATCTCACACGAACACTAACTCCTACACATACCCATATATATAACAGTGTCTACGTCACAACTTTCCGCCCTCCCCCGTCTGCTCCCCCAACCACAGGCCCGCACCTCAACCAGCATCACTGTGCAGCTCTATGATTGGCAGAGAGATGGGGGATGCCTGAGTGACACCCTCAGCATCCTATACAGGGTCGCTACAGTATTTTAATCGCAATTACGATTATGGCTGGCAACGATTACGGAAACAACGTAATCAAAATATAACGATTATTTTTGTATTATTAATTTTCTTTTTTATTAATTTTTTTTTAAATTGGTTTTTCAGTTGAATTATACTTAAAGTTCAGGGTAATCAACTGTTAAAAACATACTTTTCACATTTTTTTTTCTCCAATAAATTGATGTTTTCAAAGTAAATGGATAATCGTCTTTGACAGGGTGCGTGGAAAAGGTAGGACCCAAATGCAGAATTGAACAAAAAGCGAGCTTTATTAAATCATAAAAGCTGTGGCAAAAAGGCAGTATCCAAAATATCCAAAAAACAAACGAGCAGCACAAGGAACACGGACCGTGGAAACATGGAGGGAAAACAATGGACCGACATGGAACACAGGGGAAGACTAGACTAAATACACAGAAGGGTAATCACAGGACAAGACACAGCTGGGCAGGGGAGGGAGAAACACAAGGGCAACAGGTGAACACAATGAGACAATCAGACACACCAGGGAAACTAACGACAGGGAGGAGGACCAGACAAAACACAAGGAGGAAGACAAAACACCGAATGAACAGACTTACAAAACCCATAACCAGACAGACAACACTAAAACCGTGACATAAACCTAGGAGTGTGACAGAACCCCCCCCTCAAGGGACGGATCCCAGACGTCCCAAAAAAAAAGTCCAGCAGGGTGGGTGGAGAGGGACCGGAGGAGGGACACATAACTAGGGCCAAGAAAGGGTGGGTGGAGGGGGTCTGGAGGACGGGTCTCGGGCGGACGGCCCGGGGGCAAGGCAGAGACCAAGGAGGGGGTCTCAGGCGGAAGACCCGGGGCCAAGGCAGAGACCAAGGAGGGGGTCTCGGGCGGACGGCCCGGGGCCAAGGCAGAGACCAAGGAGGGGGTCTCGGGCGGACGGCCCGGGGGCAAGGCAGAGTCCATGGAGGGGCGAAGACCACAGCGGGCAAACTCAGGGGGCCGAGCATGAGGGCGAAGGCAGCGGCAGGAAGAGTCAGGGGGCCGGGCCCGAGGACGAAGACCACGGCACTCAGGGGGCCGGGCTCGAGGGCGAAGACCGCGGCTCTCAGGGGGCCGGGCTCTCAGGGGGCCGGGCTCGAGGGCGAAGACCGCGGCTCGCAGGGGGCCGGGCTCGAGGGCGAAGACCGCGGCTCGCAGGGGGCCGGGCTCGCAGGGGGCCGGGCGAAGACCGCGGCTCGCAGGGGGCCAGGCTCGCAGGAGGCCAGGCTCGAGGGCGAAGACCCCGGCTCTCACGGGGCCGGGCAGGAGCCGCTGTCGACCGGATAGGAACCGGAGCCGGTGGGACAGGTGTCGGCAAGATCCCCCACGGAAGAGGACAAGGAGTTGGCAGGACCCCCGGCGAGACAGGTGATGTCGAGGCCTCCAATGAAACAGGACATGGGGTTGGCAGGGCCCCCGGTAGTAGAGTAGTCGGCGGGGCCTCCAACGGCACAGGACACAGGGTTGGCAGGACCCCCGGCAGAAGAGTAGTCGGCGGGGCCTCCAACGGGACAGGACACAGGGTTGGCAGGACCCCCGGCAGGAGAGTAGTCGGCAGGGCCTCCAACGGGACAGGACACAGGGTTGGCAGGACCCCCGGCAGAAGAGTAGTCGGCGGGGCCTCCAACGGCACAGGACATAGGGTTGGCAGGACCCCCGGCAGAAGAATAGTCGGCGGGACCCCCAACGCGACAGGACATGGAGCTGGCAGGACCCCCAGCGGAACCTCCAACGGCACAGAACATCGGGTAGGGACTTGAGAGGGGACTCGAGAGGGGACTCGAGAGGGGACTCGAGAGGTGACTCGAGAGGTGACTCGAGAGGGATCTCGAGAGGGAACTTGAGCGGAGACTCGAGAGGTGACTGGAGAAGGAACTTGAGAGGGGACTCGAGAGGATACTCGAGAGGGAGCTCGAGAGAAGACTCGAGAGGGAGCTCGAGAGAAGACTCGAGAGGGAGCTCGAGAGGGAACTCGAGAGGTGACTCGAGAGGGAACTCGAGAGGTGACTCGAGAGGTAACTCGAGAGGGGACTCGAGAGGGGACTCGAGAAGGTACTCGAGAGGAGACTTGAGAGGTGACTGGAGAGGGGACTCGAGAGGAGACTCGAGAGGGAGCTTGAGAGGGGACTCGAGAGGGGACTTGAGAGGGAACTCGAGAGGGGACTTGAGAGGGAACTCGAGAGGTGACTTGAGAGGGAACTCGAGAGGGTACCTGAGAAGAGACTTGAGAGGTGACTGGAGAGGGGACTCGAGAGGGAACTCGAGAGTTGACTTGTAAGGAGACTTGAGAGGGAACTCGAGAGGTGACTGGAGAGGTGACTCGAGACGGTCGGTACTCCGACAGGACACAGGGTGCTGGAGTCGGCTGGTACGCCGACAGGACTCGGGGAGCTGGCGTCGGCTGGAGAGCCAACAGGAGACGAGGTGCTGGAGTCGGCCGGTATGCCGACAGGACACGGGGAGCTGGCGTCGGCCGGAGAGCCAGTACTGGAGCCGAAAACATGGCTGTCAGTTCCGGTTCTGGAGCAGGGACCATGGCTGCTGGGCAAGGAACCGGAACACGGAACCATGGCTGTGTGGGATGGTACTGGAGCACGGTACCATGACTGTGTGGGCCGGCACTGGAGCACGGAAACATGGCTGTAAGGTCCGGTTCTGGAGCAGGGACCATGGCTGCTGGGGCCGGCACTGGAGCCGGAACCATGGCTGCTAGGACGGGTAACTGAGTACGAGCTGGCTTCCTGACCTTGCGTCTTTTAGAGGTATTTTGGAGGCTCCGTGGACCTCCAAACGCCAGGCGGGATCCCAAGAAAGGGTCAGAGAATGGAGACTGGCACTCAGGGCTACGAGAAAAAACTCTGAGAAACTCAGGCAATGAGCTTCTCAACCATGGCACGTTGTCCACCTCCATTTGTGCCTTTTTGAGGACAGCCTCTTTGTCCCTCTTAGCCGAGGTTCTACTCCATTCAGCATAATGACACTGAAGAGTGTACTCTAGGGAGAACAAGTCCAAATAAAAATAAAAATCTGCTGGCTCCATTGTTGGTCGGTCCATTCTGACAGGGTGGAAAAGGTAGGACCCAAATGCAGAATTGAACAAAAAGCGAGCTTTATTAAATCATAAAAGCTGTGGCAAAAAGGCAGTATCCAAAATATCCAAAAAACAAACGAGCAGCACAAGGAACACGGACCGTGGAAACATGGAGGGAAAACAATGGACCGACATGGAACACAGGGGAAGACTAGACTAAATACACAGAAGGGTAATCACAGGACAAGACACAGCTGGGCAGGGGAGGGAGAAACACAAGGGCAACAGGTGAACACAATGAGACAATCAGACACACCAGGGAAACTAACGACAGGGAGGAGGACCAGACAAAACACAAGGAGGAAGACAAAACACCGAATAAACAGACTTACAAAACCCATAACCAGACAGACAACACTAAAACCGTGACATAAACCTAGGAGTGTGACAGTCTTTAATAATTGTGATATCAATTATTGACCCAAATAATCGAGATTATGATTTTTGCCATAATCGAGCAGCCCTAGTTTCTAGCAACACATCTTTAAGAGATGACATAAGCAGCCCTACCAGCATTTGCCATGGTGGTCAAAACATTTTTATTTGATCTTAAATTGTAGTTCAACATTTATTTCCTGTTACTTCTGGACCATGATGGTGGGCCAGCCTTTAATGTTTAACTGAGTGGAATATGTTTTACCAAAATGTTGGCTATATGTTAAGGAGTGTTCATGTTTGTTGATCTTGTTTATTGGTATTTATTATTTTTGATATTATTTATTTAAATGTAGATATGAATGTATAATTTATTTTATTTTATTTTGTATTGGTTTTTCAGTTGATTACCTTGAACGTATAATTCAAGAGTTAAACATTTCAAATTATTATTTGTATTTGTTTTAAAATACAATAAATGGATGTTTTCAAAGTCAATGAATAATCGCATTTAATAATCGCAATTACAATTGTTGACCCAAATAATCGAGATTATGATTTTTGCCATAATCGAGCAGCCCTAATCCTACGTATCATAAGAACCTCCTTTACGGTCCTCTGAATGTCCCTGAAACTCAGGTTCCCTCTTCTCGGCTGATGTTTTGCTTGTGTATCACAGTTGTCTTTCCTTATCCGCAGGCTGTAGACCTCAGTAAGCCGATAGACAAGAGGATCTACAAGGGGACCCAGCCAACATGTCATGATTTCAACCAGTACTCTGCCACAGCGGAGAGTGTAGCTCTCATAGTGGGTTTCTCAGCTGGACAGGTCCAGTATCTCGACCCCATCAAGAAGGAAACCAGTAAACTCTTCAATGAGGAGGTATTGTGTGTGTCTGCTCTCCTCTGTGTTGTTCAGTAACATGGGTTCTCTGTGGTTGTGATTGAAGAAGTCAGAAGTAAGTTGACATTTTCGTATCCATTTCTTTGGATGGTTTGGCTTAGCCTAGATGTCTTCAGCTATTTATTTTTCTGTGACTCCTGACTTCTCCTGCTTTCTTCTGATCGGTGATCTTCTTCGAGTCCCCGAATAAAATCATAAAATGTAGGAGATTGGGGTTGTACAAGAACATAACTGCATGCAGGTAGACTTTATGTTTGGGCGCCTCCTGATTCTGATCACCTCAGGGGGATTCACCTTTTAATTCTTTCCTCATCTTCTGCCCCTTGGTTTTTTCTCTGTTGGTTTCGGTCTATGTCTACTGTAGCTTGTTTCTTGATCTCTACAGACCTTTTAGTTCTTCCCATGCTTCCTTTCTACGTGTTCTTCTCTCAATAGTTCATACTTAGTTTTCTTAGATGAGTGTCCATATAAAAGCTGTCATTTTAACATATGTTTTACTCTTCTCTTCCTATTCCTCCCCTCTTTCATCTCCTCTTCCATTTTTCTTTTACATTTTTCAAAAAATCTCCCCTCCCTCACTCCTCCCTCCTCGGTCCACCTCCTTCCATTCACAGAGGTTGATAGACAAATCCAAGGTGACGTGTCTAAAATGGCTTCCCAAGTCGGAGAACCTGTTCCTGGCCTCGCATGCCAGTGGCCACCTCTACCTCTACAACGTGGACCACCCGTGTGGCACCACAGCCCCACAGTACTCTCTCCTGCGGCAGGGAGAAGGCTTCGCCGTCTACGCCTGCAAAACAAAGACGCCTCGCAACCCGTTGTTACGATGGGCTGTGGGTGAGGGAGGCCTCAACGAGTTCGCTTTCTCCCCAGATGGAGTGCATGTGGCGTGCGTGGGCCAGGACGGCTGCCTGCGTGTCTTTCACTTTGACTCAATGGAGCTGCAGGGGGTGATGAAGAGCTACTTCGGAGGGCTGCTGTGCGTGTCATGGAGCCCTGATGGAAAATACCTTGCTACGGGCGGAGAAGATGACCTGGTTACCGTTTGGTCATTTGCAGAAAGCCGTGTGGTTGCAAGAGGTCACGGCCACAAGTCCTGGGTCAATGTGGTGGCTTTTGATCCCTTCACAACTTCCTTGGAAGATGAGGAGCCTATGGAGCTCAGTGGCAGCGAGGAGGACCTCCACCAAGGGCCACCGAACAACTCCATGCACTTTGGCCGTGTCCGAACAAGTAGCACGTTGTCGCGTCTGTCTCGGCACAGCTCTAAAGGAGGCGGTTCGGCGTCCGTCACATACCGGTTTGGCTCGGTGGGGCAGGACACCCAGTTCTGTCTGTGGGACTTGACAGATGACGTGTTGTACCCACGCCTGCCACTGTCCCGCGCCTTTACTAACACTTTTGGGCCTTCACTGTCCAACTCTGGCAGTGGGGTGGTCAACAGTACCTCAGATGGGGGAGGGGGTGGAACAGTTGAAGGGCACCATCATCCACCCAACACTAACACTGGCACCACAAACCCTCCAACGCTCCCCTTACCGCTTCCTCGCTCCCTTTCCCGCTCCAACTCTTTGCCCCACCCCGCCGTGGCAAATGTCGCCAAGGGCCCTGGTGCCTCGGAGGGCGGCGGGGGAACCGGAGGAGGTGGAGGGAGCAGTGGAGGAGGAAACACCACCCCATTTAGCATTGGCCGCTTCGCCACACTTTCTCTCCAGGAGCGCAAGTCAGACAAGTCTGGTTGCAGCAGTGGGGTGGAGAAGGAGCACAAGAGGTACCACAGCTTGGGCAACATCAGCAAAAGCAACGATAAGATCAACGTGGCGCCCAGGAGCAGCCGGCTGGATGCTGCCAAGGTCCTCGGCACAACGCTGTGCCCACGCATGCATGAGGTGCCGCTGCTGGAGCCACTGGTGTGCAAGAAGATTGCACATGAGAGGCTGACCGTCCTGGTGTTCATGGACGACTGCATCATCACCGCCTGCCAGGAGGGGCTCATCTGCACCTGGGCGCGGCCGGGGAAGGCGGTAAGTCTTCAATTAACTATTTCCTTAGAAAACTAAGAGCCCATCTCCACATAGCGCCTTTCTCTAGCTTTTTTATTGTTTCTATGACAACGGTATATCAATAACGTATCGCTGTTGTAACAACATACACAGACTTTGAGGTCTTTGTTATGGTAGTTTTCGTCTGACAGACACGTTAAAAAACAAGTTTCTTTTATCCAATTTCTACAGTGACGTCACTTTTCTGAAGAGTTGAAATATTTCTAACTTGATTGCTATGTGCTGTGCCTTTTCGGGAGACCGCCTCCTTCGACGGCATGCAGTCGTTTCTCATTGGGATTATTTGAAAAAAGACACTGGTGCTCAGATGATGGTGCTATGTGGACACTGGCCCTAATGGTATTATGGTGTTGTATATGTGTATATATATATACATTTTTTCTTTGAACTCATAGTCGGATTTAGTTCCTTTCAATATCTCCAGCCTCCAGTTTTTTTATTATTTAACTCTAAATATTTACTTTTGATTGTCTCTAGTGCCTAACTGTCCTTTGTGTTTTGTCTCTCTGATCAGAACTTGACAGCACAGAACGGGAACTCTCCGAGTGGCACGGTGGTATAGCTGGAGGAGAAGCTTTGCACTCATCCCTACCTCCATCCACCCTCTCCACTGTAATCAAATATATCAAATTAGGGGCCAATAACAAGCGGCCATTCCTTACCATTCCCACCACCACAGTATTATATCATAAACCTCTGTACCTGCCACAGATCCTGTTCCTTACTGATTTCACTCTCACTGCGGACGGTTTGATGGGAAACACTTCCTGAATTATTTAACTAACATTACTTCAAGTGCTTAAATATAGCAAAGCTGCGATATAGCATCTAGTTAGCCTTAGTAAGACTTGTTTCTGGTAATGTGGAAACGCCTTTGATCTGGAGTTTTATTATTTGGTTGTGGCCTCTTTGTTCCAGTAAAGAGAGGTCAAAATACTACGGCAAACAATTACACTGTAGGCGACAGTGTACTTCCAACCCAGTCTCATAAAAAAACGTGTAATAACTACGTTGGTCCACAACGTAGGACGTAGTATTTCTACAAAAACACCTCTGAAATTTTTTTTTCACCATTCATTCCAATGGCTGGCGTCTATGTCACGTGATCTTCAAATTTCTCCCTGCAGAAAAAAAAAACATGGCCGAACTTCGTTTTATTCTCGGTGTAAAATGCCTATTTTAAAGTTAGTTTGGCCATTAAAATGTGTTTTGATGTCATTTGATGCGAGAAATATGAGTTGTTATTTCAGATTAGGTGTGCAGTGGATGTACATGATCTTTAGTTTGCTAGTTATTACGAAGATTACTTCAGGAAATTGTGTCCATACAACGTTTTCATTGTTACCAAGGTGGTTGCTAGGGACGCTGCTATCGATATTATTTCTGTTATGTTGTGTAACTGTTTAATGGTGTTATCTTTATTGCTACCCCCTTCCCCGTCAATGTATAGTGTTGGTCCACAGCGCAAATGTATTAGTTTAACAAAATCCACATCTAAAATTGTGGCATAGATACGTTATTTTCCCCTGTGCAATTCTCCATTTACTCAACAATAACACATAATTATCCTTGTGTTTATTTATTTGTTTGATTAACAAGTTGGAGTCCGTCAGGACAGAGGGTCGGATCAGCTCATTGGCTTTAGGGAATATTAAACTCGGAAGTAAGTATTCTCTCCGCTTCGCTTAACAAACCCCGTGATAGTCCTCAAGCTCTGTGATTGGAGAGTGTGCTCCGAGGGTTACGCCGAGCGTCGAACAGCACTTGAAATGGGATGGAACCACGGCAGACTGTCCAAAACTAGATTTGAACGGGTCCATCGATCATCTTAAGATAAGATATACTTTATTGATCCCAAGTTGGAAACATTTGCGTTACATCAGCATGTGTAACAGTTGTAAATATGCAGTGGTGTTTATTTGTAAATTATTTAGTATAATCACACAAATTATGTGTTTTATATTTAATAATTCTGTGTTCTTTATTTATTGATTGTTCAATACCTGACAAGGCCGGAGATGAAATATCTACATACATCTTATAAGAGTATAATACATATGTATAATATCAGTTAAAATAAGTACTTCAACATAGTTAACATTGCTGGAGGTTTGCACAAATATTGATAGATGTCTTGTAATGCACTATTGAGGAACCTGCGACCCAAGTTTTTCATTCAATGCATAACTACACCATAGTTGTGTAGGCCTATATGATATGTCAATAAACCTTAGAAAATCTTGAAATCTTGAAAGGGATGTGCAAAATAGTCATTATATACAGTCTTTAATTAACTATTAGTAGAGAATAACGAGTAATTAATATACTTTATAGGGATCCTATTAATATCTAATAATAAAAATAATGAAATTCAATAACATGCTTTAACCACTAGGTGTCCCTTTATATCAGCTGTGCACCTTTATGGTGTAAATACAGCCAATCTACCAATTGGATCAAATATAAAAGTCCGCCGAATTAGTGTTGATACTGCAAGGAGACGTATTGTGTGAAAATAAATGTAAGATGTTGTTTAATGGCTGATATATTTATGATCCACGTCACGTTTTCAGTTCTGGCGGCAGTTCCTCATGTTTGTCTAGAAGTCTTCTCATCAGGGCTCTATAAATACAGAACTACGGCAGATATGTAATATTTAATGTAGCCTAACCGTGTATTACAATGCCGTTATGTGATGACCTCCAAAGAGAAAAGCAAGCACACTCGGAATAAAGTTTTTTTTTTATTTTTTTTTTTAAATTCGGTCTGTTTCCGGTATTTGTTTATGACGATGTGCTGTGAGATGTGAGACTGGAATTGCACAGGGGAAAATAACGTATCAATGCCACAATTTTAGATGCGGATTTTGTTAAACTAATACGTTTGCGCTGTGGACCAACACTATACATTGACGGGGAAGGGGGTAGCAATAAAGATAACACCATTAAACAGTTACACAACATAATAGAAATAATATCGATAGCAGCGTCCCTAGCAACCACCTTGGTAACAATGAAAACGTTGTATGGACACAATTTCCTGAAGTAATCTTCGTAATAACTAGCAAACTAAAGATCATGTACATCCACTGCACACATAATCTGAAATAACAACTCATATTTCTCGCATCAAATGACATCAAAACGCATTTTAATGGCCAAACTAACTTTAAAATAGGCATTTTACACCGAGAATAAAACGAAGTTCTGCAGGGAGAAATGTGAAGATCACGTGACATAGACGCCAGCCATTGCAATGAATGGTGAACAAAAACGTAGGGATCCTACAATTTAATAACAATACTACGTCCCAAGTTGTGGACCAACGTAGTTATTACACGTTTTTTTGTGAGACTGGGTTGGTACTTCCAACCTGCTAGAGTGGGGTTTCCTGTTTGCATGACAAAGCTATCTCTCTAGCTCTCTCTCGTTCCCAGTTTGGGGTGAAAATAACTTGATTGACCTACACAGGACCCTGACCTATACCCTATCTAACACCTTTGGAATAAACTAGATCACTGGCTGTGAGCCAGACTTTAGGACTGTATCACCTTGTTAATGCTCTTGCTGCTGAACAGAAGGAGTATCTAAACATAATTAATATATCCAGATTAAACAGTGGAGCCATTCTTTAGCGGAAGTATAAAACTCAAAGGAAATATAGAGTTGTTTTGATCAGTCAGTTTCACTCGTTAATAGTTAGCAAAGTATCACTTGTCGGTGTTCTGACCATCATGTTATGTTTTTTAGCAGCACTAAACAATTGTTGTCAGACATTTTATATATTGCTTCAGGGAGAGTTTCCCACCTTGTGCTACTGTGGATCTTTACGTTTATTCCCCGTGCTTCAGCTCTCTGCCTGCATCTAACACACAGAGATGGTTTCTCCTTCCTGTCAGCAGCATCACAGTAAGCAGCAGAGTGAGTCTTCATTCGTCCTTCATCCATGAGAAGCCACGGCCATTGTATTTAAGTTATTTATTTTATCACAAGACTGTGTAGTTATTTATAATGTAAATATTGGAAACTCTATAAATACAAAAAGGACAAACGTGTATGGAAATAATGACTTGACAGCACAGAAGAAAAACACGGAAAGATGAAGAATATTATAATATATGAAGATCCTTCTATTGTACATAGCAACCACACTTAAAAAATGAATGCCTGCTGTAAGGGAACTTAAAGATGTCAATGTGTTTTTATTTTGTGTGATAAGAGTTTCTCCGGTGTGTCCCTGAAAGCGAGGTGGTGGAAGTAGTGGGTCATGTGACTTCATACAGAGGCTGCTAGCTGTAATAAACTGTCCATATGATATACTAACTGCTGAACATCATGTGTGGAGGAACAGCATCTTAATGAATTATGAACAAACACACGCTTGCACATACAGGAAGTCAAATGTCTCACACACACACACACACACACACACACACACACACACACACACAGAGACATCCCTTATGGTATAGCATCATATGTATCTTGGTTCCTGTTGCAACTAAATTGCCTCTTGCAGGAATTTGCACATACAATAAATCCACAGTCCATGCTGAGCTCCTGATTAGCTATGCAGGGGTTTTATTGTCTCGTCTGATCTGACCTGTGCACAAAAAGCTCCCATATCCCCACTATTCACTGGATATTTTTAGTGCAGACTAAATAGTGTACATCTTCGAGATCAAGATTGGATTTATTTTTCTTTGCTGTTTTTATTCTGCTTAGAGTTGGACGTGCAAAGATAAGATGATGGACATTACAATCTCTATGAGGCAGACCTCCTGCCTGATTATGAGCCTGAATGTCCATCTAACTTCATTATTCAGTCAGACATTTTATTATCAAGTCAACTATTTCCTGATTAAGAAGTGTTATTATTTGCTCCCTCCAAACCTAATACAGTGGTGACTGATGGGAGGCTGGTGAATGCATTTAGCATATTTTTCAATTCAAGAGGTTTTTAGCCATGTTGGTGCAAGGAATGGTCATATGTGTATGTTTGTTATGTTGTTCAGAGATTCATGGTTCTTTCCTCCAAAATCTCCTTCCGGTAGAAATGAGACTTCAATATTTTGGCTTATGACCAAATACCTGTAAAACTCATGACATCAGTCTCAGCATCCTAACATGCTATACGAAGATTATGAACATTGTAAACATTAGCTTTCTAGCATTGTCACTCTAAGCATGTTAGCATGCTAATGTTTGCATTCAGTTCAAAGTAGTGAACTGAGTGCAGTCTCACAGAGCCACTAATGACAGTAGAGATGTTGTCTAGTCTCCATTTGTTGTTCTTGCTCAAAACGGGGAAACAGCATCCAATGAGAGCGACATCAGATCTTCTGTCCCTGAAAAAAGAAAGCAGTGAATAACTAGAAGGAATCTCTGAGAGTGCAGACCCCTGCCAAGTGTAAATAATCTTTAAGCATTAAGTTAACAAGAGGAATACAACATTTGTGTATACGCCAAATGATTTAGATCCGCTCTGAAATGTAATGGGTTTTTATGTGAACAATGCCACAAAGTTTCACCAAGTTTCAGAAATGTGCGCCTGTATTTCTTTTCTTAATCCCACTGACAAACAAACCAAATCCAAAAAACACAACCTCGTTGAAACAGGCTTCCTCCTGCATGAGATCATTTATATTTCACGGACATGTGAAGCACACTGAAACAAGACGAACTGGCACAAGACAAAGGGAGACAAGGACTATTTAAACATGAGGGAAGTGGGAACAGGTGGAAACAATCAGGGGCGGGCAGACGCTGACGATGGCGGGAAAACACACAAAGGGAGGAAGTAACGGCCTGAAAAGAAAGACAAGCGGTAAGTACAAAATAAAACAGGAAATGGGAAAACGAGACATGACATGAAACATGGGGACTTGACTAGAGATGACAGACATAAATAGACAGACAAGACGTGAAGTAACATTAAAACCTGACTCATAGAAATCTGACTAGACTTGGAATGACATAAATACCTGACTAAACATGAAATGACAGACATCAAACAAACACAACTAACACAATTGACGAGACACCGCAATATGTCTGCATTTGGGGCCCACAAACAATTAGTAAATGTATGATCTCTCAATACCGATTCAAAGCAGCATTTTTATCAGCCTTTTGTGTTTTATGGAGAGTTACCTACCTAACACATACTATAAATAGCAGTGTGACCTCCAGCCCTGCAGGAGCCAAGGTCATGCCCTTGTAGCAGCAGACCAACCACCAGGTTTCCTCGTGCTGTGTTGGAGCCAGTGTCAGGGTATTATTACAGCCCATACTCATCTTTGTTGTCATAGCAACAGCATGTCTGCTGCTGAGTGAGTCTCTAATGAGCTCATGTGCTTCGGGTCAATCTCAGTTTTAACGCCAAATAAATGCTTCATCACGATGGAAGTTAAATCCCTTAAGGGAATAATTCCCCCCCAAACATTAACCTTCTCTCAAATATTAAAGTATGTGCAGCTTAATTAAATCAATGTATAGTCATGTGTGAGAACAGCTGTTTGATGTTTAGGCCCTGCTCACACTTTTAAAATACATTCTGATCACAAGTTCACTGGGAAATATCGGTATGTATGATCCCTGATTGAATGCCCCCGGTCACATCCACAGGTGATATGAGACAGCAAACATTTTTAATGTTAACTCCAAAATAAATGGGTGATACCATTCCTTATTGGTACCATTCTAAAGCTGCTCTCACGTGATAGGAAGTTCTCTTCAATGACCATACAGAGGGGAGCAGAGAACAATTAAAACATCAAAAGGGTCCACGTTGCTTCCTGCTTTTCTATTTCTTTAAAATAACTCAATTGTGTGCATCATTGTCAAGGAAACCCTGATTTATCATTATCCTTATTATCTGAGCCCCAGACACTGAAGGTAACAGAGTTTACAGAGCAGTACATGGAAGGTGGTATTAAGCTGAAACATTGGGAATGTCTAAAGAGGACTGTGTGCAGTTCAAATACTCACAGACTAATGAGCTGAACAAAAGCTGTGATCACAGGAGTTAAAACCATCATTCAGTACAAAGGAACAGAAAATCCCTGTGTTACATTTTGTGTGACATTCCAGGCAAGACACTTTATTTGAGTTTTTGTAATTGATTTCTCTATGTGTTTGTGTGTGTGCATGTGTAAAATATACATTCTCTATTATCACCATACAGATATCACACACACACACACACTTTACGGCTGTTCTGGTGGAAGTTATACAGCAGAATGGCTTCACTGTATCCAGTTTGTATATGGAGATCTGTTATTAAAACGTTAAACCTGAAACACTGTGTTGTGTGATACATTGCACCATGGCATTCAATATCATTATTTATTACCCGGTTCTCAGTAAAACCATGAATCTGAAAATGTAAAAGTTGTAGTTCAGGTTTTGGAGATACATTGTTTTTAATGGGCAGGAAGAGCAAGTCAAATCCGTAAACTAACTGAAGCTGTGCAGACTGTCGTCTGGGTATAAGGCCTGCTGCTTGGCTTGCCTTTAACCTTTCATCTAGAACCACTAGCAGGCCAACAAAACATTTTTCCAACATTAGATTTGTTTTTGTTGTGTGCACCGTAGAGGCATGCGAGAAAACAACATTTCTTAATTTAAGAAGAAGCTCTCTGACACTTTGCATGTTCAATATTAGGGGTTTTATTCATTTGTATTAATCTGGCAACAAACATGAAAAATGCATTAGGATTTGGAATTGTGGTTCATACCTGAAATAGGATTCACTGGAGGAGCAAAAATAAATGTTAGCTTAACATTGTTTTTAATGCTTTAGTTACAGAAAAAATAAACAGCAAGGAAGGTGTTAGAACATTGTTGTCCATGGCAATCCAACCAGCTGTGAAAATATGAACCATGGCTGTTCTGTCCTAAAGATACAGCAGGTAGGAGAGAAGAGTCTGAGGAGGAGGAAGAGGAGGAAGATCAGATGGATGCTTTGTATCCCTCTCGGTGGCTTCATCATGGTGATGACGGAGGAGGGAGAGCTGATCTACCTGACGGAGAGCGTCAGCAGACACATCGGCCTCACACAGGTACACCAGCACCTGCAGCAACAACTACAACAAACAAGAGAGAATGACATCACATTCCCTTCAGCTGCTCTGTGTCACTCTACTGATGAGTCAGCATCCACCTTTCTCGCTCATTTACAGCAGCAACAGTCAATGTGAGGAATCATCACTTTAGCAACAAAGAAAGACTCTTTAAAGCCCTCGATCGGCTGCTTTCAGTTAACTCAACTGTATTAAACTTAAGAAGTTGAAGCCCTTGTTATACGAAAAAAACATATTGTTTCCTTAATTGGGGCTGGTGTGACATATCATGAGTAACTGGAGCAAAGAGGAGCCGTCCAGTAAATCTATTCCTGGCTCGGTTTGGGGGTCTTTCTGACAGTTGTTGTTTGCTGTCCTGCTCACTACACATCCAGGTAACATCTAGTGTTAAGCATACTTCTCTTTATCTTTTTCTGCATTAAAACATAGAAGGTTGTTTTGTCTATAAGGCCTCCAAATAGTTCTTGTGATTTTGATTCTAAAATGAGTTGTGTTTTCAGGTTTACGTAAGAAACCGCTGGCAGAACAGCCGAGTGAGAGGAACTTCTTCCTGAGAGTGAAGAGCACGCTGACCAGCAGGGGGCGCACCGTCAACATCAAGGCAGCTGCCTGGAACGTTAGCTGTTACCAACGGCAACAGCTGCCTCAGCTATAGAGACACACCTGTCCAGTTCACGTTCATTTATGCCTGATGATGTTATATTTCTTTAAAAAGTTCATCGAGCATCAGAAACTCCGAGCTGTAGACTGGAGCTTTGTTTTCACACACAAGTGATGAAAAAGAAAACTGCTTTTTTAATTCTGGAAGTTGTTAAGGGCTTCTGCACTGAATGGGAACATTACAAATTATTCTGGGCAACATTTACAAATTAGGGGGCACTTTTAAAAGATAGTAATGTGTGCGTAATGTGGCTGTTTTCATTTAAAATGGCTTAATGTTGGTTTTGGATAAAAGCATTAATTGCTTAATATATATAGCCATATAATTATTTTTATATTTGGAATCTCGGGGGGGCTTTTTTGGCCCTTGAACTCATTCTGACAATATCAATACTACCATACTTTTAATACAATTAAAAATACATTTATGTACCAGGATATCCGACTGCGTCCCGTTGCATTGTGCCTATGTTTTCTGTTTGTCTTACCCACAATCCTTTGCACAGCATATGATAAAGAAGTTCATAGGCTGTAAAGACTTAAATACTTTGATAAAATAATTCCTGAGTATATTTTTTAGATAAACGACGTGTTAATTGACATTTAACATTTCTACTCTGGATTTGTTTGGCTTTAGAAACACATGTTTAGTTTTCACTAAATGACGGATCAATGAAGCGTTTTGTTGGAATTTCCATTAAAGTAAAAATCCTCCGCCCAGCTCCTCCATGTTTAATCTCCCCTCCTCCTGCAGGTTATCCACTGTACGGGTCACCTCCGTCAGCTGGGCGGGGGCTCACATCGTCCCCTGCAGGCATGTGATGACCCTGCTGTGTGAGCCCATCGCTCACCCCTCCAGCGTGGAGTTCCCTCTGGACACCTGCACCTTCCTCACCCGCCACAACCGGCAGGTAGGACTGACTGTACCTGACCTTTGACCTCTCTGTGGTGGGGGCAAGAGAGAAGAGAGGTTCTCCTTTTGGGGGGGAAAAACACCTTTCATAATTGTTATTCTTCTGTAGTTTTTCTTCAATCTTCCTGTTTCCAGGGTGACAGAGTTGGTGGGATTAGGGATACAAACCTGAAGATCTGATTGGCTGCTCAGCCTACGAGTTTTATCATGCACTTGACTCTCATCACGTCAACAAGAGCCTGCAGACACGTGAGTATCAATGTGTGTTTGTGTGTGTGTGCTGTAACAGGAAGATAGACATAGTGTAAAGACAGTTATTTTTCAACTTTAGTTTTATAGGTATACAAATAGCCTACAGTATATAGACCATCCATCCATCCATCCATCTTCTTCCGCTTATCCGTGGTCGGGTCGCGGGGGTAGCAGTTCCAGCAGAGAGCCCCAAACTTTCTTTTCCCTGGCGACATCAACCAGCTCTGACTGGGGGATCCCAAGGCGCTCCCAGGCCAGCGAAGAGATATAATCCCTCCACCTGGTCCTAGGTCTACCCCTTGGTCTCTTCCCAGCTGGACGTGCCTGGAACACCTCCCTAGGGAGGCGCCCAGGTGGCATCCTAACTAGGTGCCCGAACCACCTCAACTGGCTCCTTTCGACGCGAAGGAGGAGCGGCTCAACTCCGAGTCCCTCCCTGATGACCGAACTTCTCACCTTATCCCTAAGGGAGACACCAGCCACCCTGCGGAGAAAACCCATCTCGGCCGCTTGTATCCGCGATCTCGTTCTTTCGGTCATGACCCATCCTTCATGACCATAGGTGAGGGTAGGAACGAAAATGGCCCGGTAGACAGAGAGCTTTGCCTTCTGGCTCAGCTCCCTTTTCGTCACAACGGTGCGGTAAAGCGACTGCAGTACCGCTCCCGCTGCTCCGATTCTCCGGCCCATCTCACGCTCCATTGTTCCCTCACTCGAGAACAAGACCCCGAGATACTTGAACTCCTTCACTTGGGGTAAGGACTCATTCCCTACTTGAAGTGGACAGTCCATCGGTTTCCTGCTGAGAACCATGGCCTCAGATTTGGAGGTGCTGATCCTCATCCCAGCCGCTTCACACTCGGTTGCGAACCGATCCAGTGAGTGCTGAAGGTCGCAGACCGATGAAGCCATTAGAACCACATCATCTGCAAAAAGCAGTGGTGCAATCCTTAGTCCACCGAACTGCAGACCCCCTCCCCCATGACTACGCCTCGAAATCCGATCCATGTATATTACAAACAGGATTGGTGACAAAGCGCAGCCCTGGCGGAGGCCAACCCTCACCGGAAATGGGTCCGACTTACTGCCGAGGACCCGGACACAGCTCTCGCTTTGGGAGTACAGAGATTGGATGGCCCTGAGTAGAGACCCCCTCACCCCATACTCCCGCAGCACCTCCCACAGTAACTCCCTGGGAACTCGGTCATACGCCTTCTCCAAGTCTACAAAACACATGTAGACCGGATAAGCGTATTCCCAGGCCCCCTCCAGGATCCTTGCGAGAGTAAAAAGCTGATCCGTCGTTCCACGACCAGGACGGAATCCGCATTGTTCCTCCTCAATCTGAGGTTCGACAATCGGCCTGACCCTCCTTTCGAGTACCTTAGAGTAAACTTTCCCGGGGAGGCTGAGTAGTGTGATGCCTCTGTAATTGGCACACACCCTCTGAAAAAGGGGGACCACCACCCCGGTCTGCCACTCCTTCGGTACTGTTTCCGACTTCCACGCAACGTTGATGAGACGTGTCAACCATGACAGTCCCTCAACACCCAGAGCCTTCAGCATTTCCGGGCGGATCTCATCCACCCCCGGGGCTTTGCCACTGTGGAGTTGTTTGACGACCTCAGTGATCTCCCCCCGGGAGATTGGTGTTGATCCCCCGTCATACTCCAGCTCTGCCTCTAACATAGAGGGCGGAGTTGTCGGGTTCAGGAGTTCCTCAAAGTGTTCCTTCCAACGCCCTAACACTCCATCAGTTGAGGTCAACAACGTCCCATCCTTACTGTACACAGCTTGGATGGTTCCCTGCTTCCCCCTCCTGAGGTGTCGGACAGTTTTCCAGAACAACTTTGGTGCCGCCCGAAAGTCCTTCTCCATTGTCTTCTCCGAACTTCTCCCACACCCGCTGCTTTGCCTCGGCCACGGATGAGGCTGCTGCCCTTCGGGCCTGTCGGTACCTTGCAACTGCCTCGGGAGTCCCCCGGGATAACAAATCCCTGAAGGCCTCCTTCTTCAGTCGGACGGCTTCCCTGACCACCGGTGTCCACCAGGAGGTTCGAGGGTTACCGCCCCTTGAGGCACCTAGGACCTTGAGACCACAGCTCCCCGCCGCGGCTTCGGCAATAGAGGCTTTGAACACCGACCACTCTGGTTCAATGTCCCCAACCTCCACAGGAATGCCCGAAAAGCTCCGCCGGAGGTGTGAGTTGAAGGCCTCCTGAACTTGGGCCTCCTCCAGACGTTCCCAGTTCACCCGAACTACACGTTTGGGATTACCAGGTCTATCCAGAGGCTTCCCCCGCCACTCGACCCAACTCACCACCAGATGGTGATCAGTTGACAACTCCGCCCCTCTCTTTACCCGAGTGTCCAAAACATACGGCCTCAGGTCCGATGATACGATAACAAAATCGATCATGGACCTTCTGCCTAGGGTGCTCTGGTACCACGTACACTTATGAGCATCCTTATGTTCGAACATGGTGTTTGTTATGGCCAATCCATGACTAGCACAGAAGTCCAGTAACAAACCACCACTCCGGTTCAGATCAGGGGGGCCGTTCCTCCCAATCACGCCCCTCCAAGTGTCTCCATCATTGCCCACATGTGCGTTGAAGTCTCCCAGCAAGATTAAAGAGTCCCCTTCAGGAGCCCCATACAGGACTCTTTCCAGGGTCTCCAAGAAGGCCGTATACTCTGAACTGCTGTTGGGTGCATAAGCACACACAACAGTCAGAGTTTTCCCCCCCATAACCCGCAGGCGTAGGGAGGCGACCCTCTCGTCCACTGGGGTAAACTCCAACAACGAAGCACCTAACCGGGGACTTGTGAGTATCCCCACACCCGCCCGGCGCCTCACACCTTGAGCAACTCCGGAGAAGAATAGAGTCCAACCCCTATCCAGAAGTAAGGTTCCAGAGCCGACGCTGTGCTTAGAGGTGAGCCCAACCAGATCCAACTGGTAACGCTCCACCTCCCGCACAAGCTCCGGCTCCTTCCCCCCCAGAGAGGTGACGTTCCACGTCCCCAAAGCCAGCTTCTGTCGCCCGGGTCTGGTCCGTCGAGACCCTCCGCTTTCACTGCCACCCTTCTGGCAGCGCACCCGACCCCATCGATGTTTCCCGTAGGTGGTGGGCCCGCGGGACGGAGAAGCGGAGGTGTTGCCCACGTTGCCTTTTCGGGCTGGGCCCGGCCGGGCTCCGTGGCAAGCCCGGCCACCAGACGCTCGCCGACGAGTCCTCCTTCGGGGCCTGGCTCCAGAAGGGGACCCCGGGCTTCCTCCGGGCCGGGTATCCTCACTTCTTAGTTTTTCTTTCATGAGGTCTTTTGAACCAATCTTAGTCTGGCCCCTTGCCTGAGACCAATTTGCCATGGGAGACCCTACCAGGAACACAAGGTTCCAGACAACACAGCCCCCAGGTTCATCAGGGCACACAAACCTCTCTACCACGGTAAGGTGCTGGTTCTTCAGAGAGGTATAGACCTACAGTCTATATATAGACCTACTTTTGAAAAACAACATTTATCAATAAGGTTCCCCTTAGCTGCTTTTGTACAATTATGCAGACTGAGAATGAGCCAGCACACACAGAAGCAGCATTGTCTCCGTGCTAATAATGCTAATGCTACAATCTGCTCTGTGTCCATCGTTTTGTCCCTGTCTCTCTTCTTCTGTACGTCCCTCTCTGCTGTAGTGCTGTCCAAAGGCTAGGTGAGCACCAGACATTACCGCTTCCTGGCGAACGGCGGGGGCTTCGTGTGGGCGGAGACCCAGGCCACCGTCCTCTACAGCAGCAGGACGTCGCTGCCCGAGGCCGTGGTCTGCCTCAACTTCATCCTCAGGTCAGATCAGAGCCATCAGGGGGGGGGGGGGGGGTTGTATTTGAGATTCACATTGACTTGTTATTGTTTTTCATTAGTTAGGCCTTTCCCTTGTGTAGTACTACTATTCTCTTTATTGCATTACATTTATTTTGCGTACACTAATTGAGTCTGTCTTCCATTCCTGCTGACTCACTCCTGTTCCCTGAGACGAGTTCTATATGTGCTTGTTGATCTACAATTTATTTTGGAAAAGCCAGTATTTTAGGTTTTTGCACAGAAGATGTGGGAAAAAGATGTAGTGTAAAGTTACATAACTGTGACCTAAGTGTTCAGAAACCAGTATCTCTTTTCCCTTTGTATTCACTCTGTATGTTCCTCTTCCTCTCTGCAGCGGAGTGGAGCAGCCGGACGTGGTTTTCTCCGTGGAGCAGACCCGCTGCGGCCGGCTGCCTGAAGCTGAGCCCCAACCAGCAGAGGATTCTGGGATTTCTGACCTCAGCCAGTCTGACTCCGGCAGTGAGTGTCTCACCATCACCGGTCAGTTTGAGGACGCCGGTTCGATTCCCAGCCCCGTGGCAGAGCTCTTCCTTCAAGTGAAGGAGGAGCTTCTGAAGGAGGCTTCAGAGGCGGAGGACCCCATCACCCCGCTGACAGGAGGTGGGGCTAACACATTTATATTTACTAAGCACCAGTGAGAAACGCTTCTGTAAACAAATATTATTATTATTATATATATTTAACTGCCAGGCCAAAAATGGGAACTAGCGATAGTATCACTATCATGTTGTACCTTCTTCTGCTGTTAAATTAAAAAGGTTTGATCGATTATTTTCAAGTAATATTAAATATATTTCATTTTACATAAGGCTCATCTTGCGACTTTTGTATTATCAAAAAGATATCAGTAAAATGTTTAAGTTTATTTTAGCTCAAATGTTTGTCCACACTTTATCACTTATTTTAAGTGTCAAACCAGCAGACGGTGCTAAACAATATACTTTAAATGATCCCATACAATTTAAACAGCGAGGCCCTTTTAGAAATGTGCAGTTAATTAAATGCATTCATCACCATTTAATTGTGATGCACAGGAACTCCCATAATGCTCTGCTTTATTTGGCGCAAATGTCAATACAAATGAGCTGTTTGATCATAACTCAGTGCTATTCAGTGTTTTCTTTGAACAGACATGGAGCAATACCAGCGGCAGCTCAGACACTCTGCAGCTCCCAGGGAACTCTTCTCTCCTGAACCTTTGTGTTGTGTCTCAGATTTATTGGAGCTGTCATTCTGCAGTCCCCGCGGTCAGTCCTCTGTGCCGGAGCACCCTCAAGAGCTGTGCACCCCCCAGCTGCGTCAGCTACTCTCACCCATCTTCAGCCCCCTCACTCCACCTTCCTCATCCTCCCCTGAGGATCAGCTGGTATATATCATACCAAGTGTTTTTTTTAAACTATGAAAGTGTTAGTGTCTGTCTGATGTCCCTCTGTCCTCTGTCCCTCAGAGCCCCTGTGAGGAGGGGGGGGGGGGGGGGGAGACGGAGACGCTCTCTGTTGGTCCAGGAGAGGGAAAGATACTGGAGTTACGAGCAAAAATAAAAATCACCTTCTTTTAGAAGTCTGTTTTCTAAGCCTTTTCACTTCTAGTTATGTTTTAAACTTTTATTTTTCAGAATTTGAATTTGAAAAAGTTAAAAATCTTGTTTTCTACTAATTTCAGATAAAAATCTGATTATAAAATGTTTAGTTGAGATGTTATACATCTGATATGCTATTCCAACCTGCACCTATGAGATTGATTCAATGCATCTGATGGTTGAGATCTGATAGCTGTAAAAAATAAAAATAAATCACTATGTTTGTTTTTTGCAGACAAAATGAGACAGTGAAGGTTTACTCTCTGTTTGAGTCTGTGCACAGCTTCATGTTTCTGTCTCTGAGCAGGAGGTGATGGATCTGGATATGTTGGCTCCGTATACCTCCATGGACAATGACTTCCAGCAGAGCGTCCTCAGCAGTGTGGACGACAAGCCCTCCTCCTCCTCTAAAGCGTCCGCTGGGAGGCCGGCAGACCCAGCCAGCAGGAAACGGTAGGAACAAGGCGTCAACTAGATAAACAGTACACTAATTGATTCGCCTTGTCTTGTACATTCCATTCTAATGCTGTATGACAAGCTTTTCTGATCATCTTTCTAATTAGATTTGTTGCACAATGAAACAAAGCAGCAGAAACACAAACACAAAAAAGAGAAACAAGTTGATAAAAAACAAAAAACCTGCTTTTATATATTTTTTATATTCTGCTTTTTCAGGGAATTCCCTTCCTATAGTGTGTTCTATACGTTTCTGTGCATGTCAATGGTCTGCAAAGGCTCAAATCCCTGTGTTCCCTCAGAGGCAGTGAAGTGGTTTACCCTCTGTATGGCAGTCCCTTTGTAACAATAACATGGGATGGGTCATCCTCAGAGTGCTCACATTAGCTGCTTGTGCATAGAGTTTTAGAAAAAGACAACAAATGTTCCACATGCTTTACCATGTCCCTGTCTATCTTTCAGGACTCATAACCCAGACGAGGAGTTGCTGATGATTCAGGACAAGAGACAGAAAGCAGATCCTTCCTCCATAGAAGAGGAACTGCTGCTCAGCCACAGACTGCTGGTGAGGCAGAGGAAATGTTTATACAGCAGCTTTTCTCAAAGACGTTAACAAAGTGCTTTTAGAGAATGAAAGGAACCTCGAGGACTGATTCAACATGTATCTGAAACTAGTGAACGTGAAGTTGAGAGGATGGAAGACATGTTCAGAGTCACAGTCTGTGCAGATCAGAGAGGAGGACAGTCAGGATGGAGCATCATTACCTTGCCTTCAATAGTTCCACTTTATAGAAGACAGAAAGCACCTTCCATTCACTGTGAAGCCCTCAACTTCCCTGTAACATTAGACTTCTCTCATAACTCATTCTAAAATGTTTAAACAAAAACATCACTTTTTCTAAAACAGGGCTTATAATTTAAAGAATCGGTTTCCCAAAATGTATGAATTTATTTTAAAGACGTTTGACATTACAATTAATCACACAAAGTGTTTTTAATTCCATCTTCAGGACTGTCTGGAGGTTCACTAGCAGGAACCACGCCACAACAGTGTGATGTTTGTAAATGTATTGAAGTAACATGTGAATGATGTGAGGGGGGGTGAAGGGATGGTCTGGGAGGACGAGCTGTGGTCCGTGCAGTGGGAGACTCAGAGTGGGGGTTCCGTCTCCGGCATGATCTGCGTGGGCTGATTACGGGCCCAAAAGAGTCGGATTAAATGGAACTGAGTGGAGCGTGTGCCCGTCTGAGATCGTTGAGATTGTTATGGATGTAAGTGTGGTAAGCTTGGGATGACCAGCGGCCCAGGACCTGGATGATTTGGTCGGAGATGCCCAGTCTCGCTGCTGTGGACACTGCACCAATGCGGAAGGAATGGCTCGAATAGTGTTCTGAGCGTATCCCCGAAATAAGCAAGACGTTGTGGAAGTGTTTCTGGAATCAGAAACGTGTGGCCATTTTCCCTGTTTCGGTGAGAAAGAGTGGGTGTTGAGGCGTTGCGTGTGCAGCGTACCTTGCGCTGAGGTATTTGGTTAGTGGCTCGTATGGGCTGAGATACGAGTTCAGGCGGAAGATGTGGAGGGAGTCGTTTGTGTGCAGGGATATGTCGGATAGGCTGAGGTGGTGGTGAGGGTTGTAGGCGGATGAAGTGGGTGCGAATTCGGAGCATCGCAGGAAGCCGAAGAATGCTAGCAGGAACATGCATTCTAGGGTAAGGTCGACCATTGGTGATATGTCTCCTGAGCGTAGGGAACGGATGCAGAGGCTGAGAAGGTCGGAAGTGAGTGGCAGTCGTTTGGCTGTGAGGGAGAGTTCCTGCTTACGTAATCCTTTGATGAGCATTGTGACGTGGCTATGGGACGTGGAAGGACATGGTTGGCCGCTGGCTATTTTAATGAAGAAGTTAATTCCGGCCAAGTATGTCTGAATAGTGTCCGGCACTTACGGATGGAATGAGCGTGAGTAATGAAATTGCAGACGGATATAACGTCCAGAGTGGGGAATGGTAGCTGGTATGCGCCGTGATATAGCTTAAAGCGATTCCAGCCGGTGAGATAGGCTGACAAGGTGCTTGGGGCGAGGCTGTTGAGGATGGCTTCCCGTGAAGCGTGTGAGAGTAGTTCCAGTTGTGGGTTTAGTTGAATGTGGTGGCTGAAAACGGTGGGACTGGTATGGGATGGAGATCCGCCTCTGGGGCCAAGTTTCTGAATTTCTGAAATTGGGAACGAGACAGAGAGTCAGCGATGCCGTTCTCATGACCTGGGATGTGTGCTGCTTTGAGGATGAACTGGTGTTGGGCAGAGATTAAGGTGAGTCTGCGGAGGAACTGCATGATGGCTAGGGAGCGAGATCGGCCTTTGTTAAGGATCTCTACGACTGCGCTGTTATCGGTGTGGATGAGTATGGCTTTCCTAGACCATTCGTGCCCCCAGAGAATGGCGGCTATGATGATGGGATATAGTTTGTGAAGTGCGGATGAAGGAGAAAGCGTCTGTGAATTGAGAGCTGTGAACTCCGGGGGCCAGGTGGATGAGAACCATCTCCCTGCGTAGTAGCCGCCGAAGCCTATGGAGGGGGCTGCGTCAGTGAAGAGTTGGATATCCTCGGGTTTGGTAATGAAATCATCATAAAAGAAAGAGATGCCGTTCCACGAGGACAGGAAGTCCTGCCAAAGGTGCATTTCCATTTTGCATGCGTCGTCGAGAACTAGTCGATCGTGGATGGAGGGAACTGACGCCGCTCTGTTCAGCAGGTTGGACAAGAAGGGTTTTGCTTGAGGTATTTTGCGGATGGCGTAATTTAGGTGGCCGAGGAGGGCTAACAGCTGCCATTTCGTGCATCTGTCTGCCTGTAAGTAATGTGACAGGAGGAGAGTGATGCGCTGTACTTTCTTTGAGGGTAGAGAAGCCTGGAAAGACATTGAGTGATGCCTAGAAACTCGATGGAGGTTTTAGGCCCTGAGGTTTTCTCTTCAGACAGAGGGATGCCAAGGTCTGAAAATGTTTGTATGAGTGTGCTCAGCCCGTGGCAGGGGGGTGAGGATGGTGGAGTGACGATGAGAAAGTCGTCAAGGAGATGGAGCACGTAGGGGAGTCTGTGGTTGTTTGTCAAGATCCAGCACAGAGCTTCTGAAAGGGAATCGAAGATTTTGGGACTGCTTCTGCAGCCGAATATGAGGCGTACTGAGAAGTAATAGGCTCCCATCCAGTACACTCCGAAGAAACGCCAGCAATCTGGGTGAATAGGCAAGATCGTGAATGCACTGGTGATGTCTGCCTTAGATAGCCATGCTCCACGGCCTGCTGAGCGGATGAGGGTGATGGCGTGGTCGATGTTTGCGTATTGCATCGAAAAGTCTGGGCTTGGAATGACGCTGTTAATGCTCGGGATGGCTAAGCCGTGTGGAGAAGACAGGTCTATTATGAGCCTCTTTTTCCCGGAGTATTTCCTAGTAGCTATGCCTATTGGACTGATGCGGAACACTGGAAAGGGAGGACTATCGAATGGGCCTATCATGAACCCTTCTTTGACTTCTTTGGCCAGTAAGGTGTCCCCCGGAAGATGTGCAGGCTTTCTGCTGTCCTGATGTCAATGGGGAGCTCATTCCACTATTTGGGAGCCAGGATAGCAAACCCACGTGTTTTTGCTGATGGGAACTTGGGTCCCCCTCGCAGTGAGGGTGCAGCGAGCTGTTTGGCTGATGCAGAGCGGAGTGCACGTGCTGGGGTGTACGGTTTAACCATGTCCTGGATGTAGGAAGGGCCAGATCCATTCACAGCATGGTACGCAAGTACCATTGTCTTGAAGTGGATTCTAGCAGTTACCGGAAGCCAGTGAAGGGAGCGGAGGAGCGGCGTGGTGTGGGAGAATTTAGGAAGGTTGAAGACCAGACGAGCCGCTGCATTCTAGATGAGCTGCAGAGGTCGGATGGCACATGCAGGTAGACCAGCCAGGAGGGAGTTGCAGTAGTCTAGGCGTGAGATGACAAGAGTCTGGACCAGAACCTGCGTCGCTTTCTGGGTCAGCTGGGGACGTATCCTCCTGATGTTGTAAAGCGTGTATCTGCAGCAGCGAGTTGTAGCAGCGATGTTTGCAGTGAAGGACAGGTTGTTATCTAGGGTCACACCCAGATTCCTTGCAGTCTGAGTCGGGGAAACAATAGAGGTGCCAATGTTGATTGTTAGGTCAAGAGTGGGACAATCTTTTCCCGGGAGGAAAAGCAGTTCAGTCTTGTCAAGGTTGAGCTTGAGGTGGTGAGCAGACATCCACTGAGAGATGTCAGCTAGACAAGCAGAGATGCGTGCGACGACCTGGGTCTCTGAGCGGGGAAAGGACAGAATTAGTTGGGTATCGTCAGCGTAGCAGTGGTATGAAAAACCATGCGGGCTAATGACTGATCCGAGCGAGTTTGTGTACAAGGAGAAGAGGAGGGGACCAAGAACAGAGCCCTGAGGGACCCCTGTAGTTAATTGACAAGGGTCGGACTCCGACCCTCTCCAAGTAACCCTGTAGGTGCGGTCTTTGAGGTATGAGGTGATGAGGGAAAGTGCAGAGCCTGAAACTCCAAGTTCTTGGAGAGTGCGAAGGAGGATCTGATGGTTCACCGTGTCGAATGCAGCAGACAGGTCCAAAAGGATGATGACAGAGGAGAGGGATGCTGCTTTAGCCGTGTGCAGTTCCTCAGTGACAGCAAGGAGGGCAGTTTCTGTGGAGTGACCTGCCTTGAAACCAGACTGGTGCGGATCCAGAAGGTTGTTCTGATGGAGATAACAGGAGAGTTGTTTAAAGACAGGAACGGGAGGAGAGAGACAGGCCTGTAGTTTATAACATCAGACGGGTTGAGAGTGGGTTTCTTTAGTAGAGGGTTTACTCTTGCCTCCTTGAGACTGTTTGGAAAGTGACCAGAAGTTAGAGAAGTGTTGATGAAATGGGTGAGAAACGGTAGAATATCAGGAACGATAGTCTGAAGGAGGTTTGAAGGGATAGGGTCCAGAGGACAGGTGGTAGGACGGGCAGAGGTAATGAGGGTAAGAACCTCACTTGGAGAGAGAGGGGAAAAGGAGGTTAGTGTGTTGGTGAAAGGTGGGTCTGGTGACCCAGCGGTGAGTAAAGGTGAGTCAGAAAAAGAAGAGCGAATATCATCAACCTTTTTTTCAAAGTGGTTAACAAAGTCGCTTGACAGAAGGGAGGAGGGGGAAGGGGCTTTGGGAGGGTCCAAGAGGGTGGAGAAGATGGAAAATAGTTGTTTGGGATTGGAATAGGAAGATTGGATCTTTTCTTGAAAGAAAGTGCTTTTTGCCTGAGAGATCGAAGCAGAGAAAGAGGAGAGGAGAGCCTGATAGGTTAGGAGGTCGTCATGGTGTTTGGATTTCCACCGTTTCCCCTCTGCTGCCCGAAGGACGGTTATATTAGCACGCACCAACTTCACCAACAACGATCCACGGCGGGTGTGGCAAGGTATACAGCACATCACCAACAACAAAAACAATAACAGCACAACGCTTGACGGGGACGCCTCACTGGCAGAGGAACTTAATTGTTTCTTTGCTCGTTTTGAGGTCAATGCAGTAGAGACGGACACAACAACCTCACCAGCATCCAACAGTCACACCCTCACTGTGCAAGAGCATGATGTGAGGCGTGTGCTCAGAGCGGTGAACCCGAGGAAAGCTGCAGGCCCTGATGGCGCGACGGGAAGGGTGTTGAAGGAGTGTGCAGACCAACTTACGGAGGTCTTCACAAAGATCTTCAACCTGTCACTCTCCAAATCCATCATCCCTTCGTGCCTGAAATCTGCCACAATCATCCCTCTGCCAAAAAAAAACATCATCTCCAGCCTCAACGACTACCGTCCGGTAGCACTCACACCGCTCATCATGAAGTGTTTCGAGAGGCTGGTCCTGCAGCACATCAAAACCATTCTCCCACCCACCTTCGACCCAAATCAGTTTGCGTATAGAGCAATAGGTCTACAGAGGATGCCATCGCCACTGTTCTTCACAGTGCACTGTCCCACCTTGAACACCAGGGG